GGACATATTTCGCACTTGGGTGCAGCCACTATAATAGGTAGGAAGTTGGGAAGATAGGATTCAGACGGGAATTACATTAATTAAACGATGAATCATTGCTAACGAAAAAATGAATTTGAGCGGAGTTCAGTTGATAGTGTTGCTTTGTCAATAATATATATATATAATTTTATGGTAAAATAAAATGATTACAACAATGTGCGTTTCCATGACAACAACGATTATCCAACACGATTCAAATAATAAACTTAATACATAATAACAAAAAGTAAATAAAAGTCAACCGTTTTTTAATATTTCAATCTTCTTTAACCTAAAGAACCGGGTTTTCCCCATTATCTCGAATATGAATGATAATTTCAAAAAATGACCTTTTAAAGTACCACCCAGAGAACATTGCCTTTCAGAAAAAGAGGCTATACTTGATAAGGAGTAAGATTTCCGATTACGCCCTTAAGTTCTCTGCATTGGACTCAATTGTGTTCCCGTATACTCCGTGTACTCTCATAATTTTGTTGGAAAATCACGAGTATACTGCGTATAATCTTAGATGGTAAAAAATCCGTCATGATATATACGTATTATTATCATGATCGGTTCGTAACGCGTATGTCACTAAAACCGAAACAGCAATACGAATTGTAATTATTTCAGTTATTATTATAACTAAAAATTTTACAATTTTCTTACGATACGTAGTACCCAATTTATTTTTAAAAATGTCTAGTGTTTCGATTTAGTAATTTTAATTTATTTCTTGTATATGTAATATATATTTCTCTATAAAAAATATAATCCACAAGAAAGATAAAAAAAATTGGGCGTTACAGTATGTCCTTAAAAAAATTAATGGCTACGCCACTTCTCACAAACGTGTCCAATCCGCTTGATTTTTTGTGCGCTCACAAAACTAGTTATCTTCGGGACTCCGGTCAGATAAATTTAAAAATCAATTAAATGTTTAAATCAACTTTTGAAAAAACTTAACGAATTAATAAAAGATAAAACAATTAACGTTTAACGCAATTATTATTGATTTGTCCAGCTTTGGAAAAAACTATATATTATTATATTATTAAGTTGTTTTTCGATTAAAATGAGTTTTCGATTTCATAAAAAAGATGCATAATATGATCCGTATATAGATATAAAACACAAATTAATCATTTTTTTTCATATTTTTTTTAACGTTCCTTATGTATTCGAAGGACACACGGTATATTGAGGCGGTCTGCGGCTTTTTTTTTTTATACATGTGAAAAAAAAACTGTCGGCTAAACGCACTTGAATTATTCACTATAGCAGTGTAGTATCTGAAATTGTATTGTAACTAGATACACGGGTCTACATTTTAATCGATAGATATTATTTGTAAAGTCTAACGAAAGATATAAATTATACTTACGTCAAATGTACAATATTCGAATATTACGCGGCTAAAATAATCATGTTCTTGTTTTACATATTATTTTGCAATTAGACATTGTAAACGCTGCGTGAGATTTAACGCGGCGTGTGCGCGAATGTATTTTTGTTCTCGGGGGACGACAATTTTACTGTAATAATCCGATGGAAAAAATCAGCGTTGTTTTGAAAAAAAAAAAATGTAAAAACTCATAATTCCTAAATGTTTAGTGTTATCTGGCAAACGTATCATATTACGGTGAATTATATTATTATTATTATGTAACAATACAATACTGCTTTTGGTTGAATTTTAAACGGTTGCGGAAAACCAGTTTTTTTTTTTTTCATCTACGAAAAAAAAAATAATAATAATGTATATATTATATTGTTATTATTTTATTATTTATATCGCTGTTCGGCAGCAACCTTGCTGCTATACTGCGTCTGCGTCTGTATATTTTTTTTTTTTTCCCGTACAATACCATTAACGGTATAGGTGTGACCATTATTAATGAAGTGCTAGTGTCCGTTGACAAGTTACACGTCCGACTGTCAGCTACCGTTACTTCGTCATATATTTCAATAGATGTATACCGATTTACAATAATATCCGTCAAAATAAAACCGTTTTCAATCAGTTCCAATTGAAATCGCATCGCAGGCACATCAATAGTCAACGATTATAATAAGTCTTTAGTCTTTTATTTAAGCGTTTAATTTTTTTTTTTTTTTTTTTTTATTGTTAATTTTTCTGTATTACACTTGTTACGATTAAAGTTATTACTATTATAATTTAATCAGCGTAACCCGTTACATTGTAACTCCAAGTAATTATCACGACATTTCGTAGGACTATATGACAAGTGTATACCAACTGAGCCGAGTTCCTATACGGTGCATGGAGTGAATATTAATAATTTGTTTTACAACACAATATTGAATTCGTATGAAATTGAAACGTAAATTGCTGAAAACTCGGCAATAACGAACAGTTGAAAGTATTCACCGATGCCTTAAAATTTAATTTATACACGCGTTTTTCATTGAGAGTCGTTTACTATAATACGATTCTTATTAGTTATATTATCATTGACGGTATTTTCGGAATGAAGTCCATACAATTTTTACACTCATCTCTTTACAATAACATCGTCTAGATCATTAAACACCGGTTTACTCGTATGTAAGCATGCGAGCTTTTTGACCCGGTCAGTTTTCGTATATTTAACTGTTCTCCCGTCTGGAATTTCTCTGTCGTTTAGCACGTGTTTTTGTATGGATTTGATTATGACGCGTTTATTATGTAACTCATAAATGGATGCCTAACGTTATTGTACGCTTAAATAATTTCACTGGTGAATAATTCGCTTTAATGATCCATCGCAAAGTACACCGATTCAGATCGATAATTCATTATTGGCCAATAGGTTTTTACAGACTACCCGTTGTCAGAAAAGTATAGGCAACTGAATGCTTAAAATAATAATTTCGCTACAAAATTTCATACAAACGATTTTGTATGAAGTATGCAAGTAATTTGGAAATCTAATAACTTGAGATAAGTTATTCATTTATTATATTGATTTTTTTTTTTTTTTGAAAATAAGGATGAAACATTTTAAACACAGAGATATCTAATGACACTCATTTTAAACTCTCAAATCCGCAAACATTATTGAGTAAAAAAAAATGTAAATATTATTTATACAAGTACTGTGATACGGATATAACGGATACCTATTCAAATAGTGTATGGATCGTGATATTTTATATTCCATATCAAAAGAAATTGAAATTGAAGCTTGACACGATTTAATTCGAAAATAACTCGTCGTATTTACTAAGTTTTAATGGTAAACAAAAATAAGCGAAGTAAGTAAAAAAAAATCAAAGTTTAAGGCATAAAATTAACTTGACATTTAATTTGAGCGGTTAGTTAACAAAAATATATTACTTGTTTGAAAATAGAAATTAGAACGCAAACACGCATTAAACGATTAGTATTTATTCGGACATAAAATTCGTGTAATACAAATTTGATTTTTTTCTCGTAACCGTATACTTGGATATTTTTTTAGAATTATAATCGGAATGCAATCGGATACTATATATACATTTTTGAAATAAATTAGGTGTAAAGATAGATATTTTGCGTTACAATTACTTTCCAAAATATATTGGAAAAAAAAAAAACACGAAGCCCCAAAAGTGTAAACGACCGTGTATTAGTATCCGATTTCAGTATACTATATACCTAAGCCACACAAGTCCCTTGAATTAATACTCTAAAGATGATGATATTATAAAAGTATTTGCCGCCCAAAAAGGATGTGGTCATCTTGAAAAAGTGTCATTTTCAGTTCACGAAAATAGTATTTCTTTCTCCCGAAATAATCTATAAACAATCACCGAAAAATGAAAATATCTAATAACGACTGTCTTAAAGACAATATGCCTCGATAAAATGCTTAATCGAATTTATGAAAGATTTCGTAATTGCGTAATGTTCTGCTAATATCGATTTTTATTCGGAAATGTGAGAATTTTTTTTTCAAATTTATTATTTTTTTTTTTTTAACTAAACATATTCATTGTCTACGTGAATTGCCTTTAAACAAATCTGTAAACATTATTATTATTATTTAAACTATCAGAGATATGGGCCGTTGGTAACTTCGTGACGATCGAATTGCACTGACCTAAACTAAAAAATCGAACTTTTGAAAAAATAAATGTGAGAAAAAAGTTTTGAAATCACTAGTTTCCTTTTCCACTTCCAAGCTTAGGCGTTAGGCATGACAATAGTTTTAATCATAGCTGGTTATCGATACCATGCACTATTATTTTAAATTATTCAAGTACAAAAAGAAACTAATTTTTCGCCGCGCAGATAATTAAGTTATAAGCGATGAGACGGGAAATTAACGTTTTTAAAACTTTGGAATTACGTTGACATTTTTTCGCGAAATATTTGCTGAGACGCCATTATTGACCCGAACGCAATAAAATCGTATCCACCAATATCGACCGTAGTCACCAATGACTTTTATAATAATATTATTTTGTTTAACACTGCACACTGACTTACCTGAAAGCTAATTCGAGGTTTCTGTATATTTTATTATTATCGTTTCGTCTTTTTTTTTTTTTTTTACGTAATTTTTTTTAAAATATTTATATTTACGACATTATCGTTCACACTACTAATAATTTTTTGTAACTTTTATAAATCAAAGGCGAAGGAAAATTTTCAATATCAAAAACATTTGTTTGCGTTTTTAAAACTATTATTGTCAACCGAAAGCAATTTATTTTTAAGCTAATTCAAATATAATATTTTATGCGTATACGAATGGGTATAATTAAACTTGATGTGTAAACACATATCCCTAAAACATACATATTGCGTAATACGATCAACATCACAATGTAATGTATGCGTACAACGGATTCGGTCTCTTTTTTTCCCATTTTATTTAATTCCGTTTATCTTTGTAGTAATATATTTTTTATTGTAAATTATTACATACATAATATTATCGTATATCAATTATTAAATGAAAAAAAAAAAAAAAAAAAAACGATTATTTAATGGTGACTCAAGGTTATTGCGTCAACAACACTTCGTTTCTATAAGGAATCATAATAGAAAAAACATTAGGTATTCTAATTCAATGAACAATAAGTACCGGAAACATAATAACTATATAATTTTACTTTATTAATAAACACAATCACTCGTTCGGCGGCTTTACCACGCCATTTCGTTCGGCCGACCATTGAACTTGTCGCTGTTTAGCATTTCAATCGCACGGTGAGCTAAAAATAAAAAAAAATACGAATTTAACAAAGGGTTGATGTATGGAATGTTCAATTCAGGAGAAAACCACATCATAATAAACCAAAAGAGTTTTGTCAAATTAACCTTCATAAACGAAGGTTGTGGATTTGGAACTGAGATGTAGGTCGACCTTCGAAAGCCGAATAGGCGAGAAAGACATCCAGGGTGAATATGCACTTTTATTTAAATCCTTTGTTTCATTTTTTTCAGATATTATAATAAACCATCAGGTTTAAAATGTATCAAGACACAAGCTTACGTGCATCGTAATCATCATTAAGAGTTTCTATTAAGGCGTTGATTAAGAGGCGACTTCAAAAATATTGTCGCGAAACCGTGTACATTTTGTTCCCAGCGCTATCAAAAGTAAGCTTAATAAAAAAATGTTAAATCAAATCATTAATCGGTCGACGATTATTGTCACGGTAATACCTATTGATACTATAGCCAACGGCGTAAATACCGGGTGGGCAAGTCGAGCAAATGGCACGGGTCCACAGCTGATGAGGACGTCCTAGCAGTGGCCTTCAGGGTCTAAATACAATATTTTGACGAGGGAATTAGAAATTTCAATTACGCCACTGACTATAACGCACTGCTCTTTTGCTGTTGGGTATACCTGACAAACGGAATACGCTGTACCTACTGATAGATATTTCGCAAAATATACGGTTTACCGGTACGTTTGTAACAAATATTTACAAATAATAATATTTAATAAAAACTGGCTAATCGCTAGTGGCCATTTTCAATGTAACCATTACAATATTAGAGTATGGTAGTCGCAATCAGTCGACGTCGTATTATAGTGCATATTTAACGTGAGGAGTTTTCGTGTTTTTTTTTTTTTTTTTTTGTTATATTTGTTAAATACGTTTAATATATCCGCGATTTGTATTGTTAATAAAATAGTATATCACGGCAAGACATTTAAATACACCTACAAATAATTCGCGTATGATTGATCGGTCAGATACCGCCAAACTTAAATTAAACCAAGTTACCTTCAAAAAAAAAAAGGTAATGAGTAGGTATATTTTTTTTTAGTAAAATATAACGACTAATATTAGGGATTCTACTGCAATATAATATGTCATGAAAATTCGGGTAAAAGTTAAAACATCGCGAAAGTATTATAAAAAAAATTGAAAATATTATTAATGAATGGTAAAAACCTAAAAAAAAAAAAATTAAAAAGATAGGAAAATTGAGCAATGCGATTATACCAGTATTTGAGTACGATTTAAGTATCAAAACGTGTTATGTATTTGAAAGTGACGAGGATGTTAATGTAAAGAAATATTTGTATTACCTATCTGTTTTTCTGTATAACATATTCTAATAAAAAATTTAAATCTCGTTATTAAAATTAAATTGATTAATGCCGACTAAGATTTTTGAAATCTTTAAAGTAATAATTTAAAAATGCTAATATAATCATACTTATACAGTAGTACTCAAACGTATTATGCATTTTTACTAATTCTGGATAGTGATCAAATGTTATTTTTTACATAGTTTTTAGATCGTCAGAACATTAATAATTATTTTATCTATATATGTGTATATAAATTTTCAATCTATTAACATCTTTCCTCGGTGTATAGTGTTAAAATTGTCATACAGTCAGATTTTAGATTTTTTTTTTTTTTGTTTTGTATTATTTATGTGCACACAGCTTACCACTGCCATATATGTTATTATAGGTATCTATAATAACACTTATTTGCATTTTATACTCATTTACGTAATTTGTATTTTATAGATTAGGTATACCAATTCATATATACATATATATATATATGTGTATGTTGTAAAATGTTTCATTAATGTTTTTTTTTTTTTTTTTAATTTTTTTTTTTTTCGTACAACAAATTAGTGTCAACTCTCAGCTATCACACATAATATTACATATACGGAATAAATAATTTAACGACTGTTTAACACAATCTTAATCTTGATGTATCTATAATTAATGGAGCCCATATTCGGTAATTACGTTAATTTAACGACAGCGAAATTTTATTCACTTAAATAATAACTATAAACCGTGAATGTATATATCACGTATAATGAGATAATGAGATTCGTTATGCTCACCGACATACCGACGCACATTTGATCTGGAAACATGACATTTTGCACGGCAGTTTCTTAAACAGTTTCTTAGCCGCTAAATACTGATTTTGCAAAAACGGATGTTATTGTTAGCGTCATTGTTTTATTTTATTTTATTTTTTTTTTTTTGTTGGAATTCGGTTATAGAAATTAATCCCGTATATACAGGCGTGAAGCCAAGCGGGCACCTAGGTGAGCCGGCACCCCCAATTTAAAATATAATTATTTTTACCGAAATAACAGCATCGTGCTATAAGCTTAGATGCCTTGAAATAAATCTATTGTGGTTACTGATTACTACTGAGTTATACAGGTACCATTATGGCAGCATTTTTATTTTTAAACTCATAGAAAACGTTGTCTAAATAATAATTTTTTATTGAGCTGTTTAATATTTTATACACCTACTTATAATATTGTATTATTGACATTTACATTTTAGATTGGGAGCGTAACGAGGAATTGGTTTTACAATTATGTTTATTTTATTTTGTTATTGACTTTTTTTCTATGAACAACTATTTTCTACCAAAAATGTTGTGTATCAAGTGTAGCACGGAATAAAACATATATCAAATCGGTACTTTAGGAAGGTAATTTTTTTGATTTTCTAAGCGATTTTCATAATAATCGGGAAAACCCGGGAAAAATAAAAAAATGTACGAATGTATTTTTAATTTTGTTTTTTGTTGTAATTCAGTTGAAAATAAATGTAGAGACTTGAAATTTGAACTGAAAACTAATATTTACCTTTTCTAGACGTGGCAAAATATTTGAACCATTTTTAAGCTATTTATCGAGATTTTTATTCGGTAGGCACCTTGTGGGTAAAATTGTTTGACTAAATAGAAATGCTTGAAAATTTAAGAGGAGGCTCATTATAAGTCGTACTTCGTGGTCAAAAATAAAAATTGAAGTTAATGTTGTATTACATTTTTATAAGAATTTTAATATCAAATATTGACTAAAATCATAAAAATTATTGCATTTCAAAATATGTCTTACCGATTTTCGCTCCGAATCGTTTTTCATTAATAATGGCTTATCATTATGTACAAGATATAAATTAAATAACTTTACGTATCCTGCTTTCCAAACTTTCCACCTACAAAAGTGGCCAACCCGTCGTGCGAAGTATGTCCGTTTTTTTGCACCTATATTTGAACTCTTTTAATAAATTTCACAGTGTTTTTTTTATAAATTATATTTAATTAAAAAATAATTGATCAATTTTATTTTTGATTAGTATTAAGATATTATGAATACATTTTTTCGCTTTAAAGTTGAAAAAGAGCTAATACTGGGGATGGGAGCGGCCACTGTTGTAGGTGAGAAATCGGAAAGGTAGGATACATAAGGTTATTTCATTTATATCTGTAAGCAACGATAAACCATTGCTTGACGAAAGACGATTCTGAGCGCAGTTCGATAATACATAATCTAAAGTGCCGTAATTTATTTTGCGATTTTCGTTTAAATTCGATTTCAAAACGCTTGTCCAATGATTTTAAAAATTTTACATCGTCTAGGTGAGTCCAATATAAGTATTATTACCAAGTTTCAAGTCTCTACATGAGTTTATAACCGAATTACAGCAAAAAAACTCCCAAAAATTAAAATCCCTTAAAAGCTCAAAAGTTTTACCGATGATACCGCAAGAAATTAAATCAAAAAGGCAACAAAAATAGTGTCTTATGAATTTTTGATTAAATGATTTTTTTCTGGTAGAAAATGGCGTCCGTGTTTTTATAAAATCTATTTATGAACTTTTTAATACGGGTTGCCATTTGAAAATCAAAATTAGGTAGTTGTTTTACCCCCAAAAATAAGGGTGACAAAAAATAGCACAAATATAAAATTGTGGCGCAACTTGGTTCTTAAATGTTCTAGAAAACAAATTCAGGAAAAAGTTAATAATTCCGAGATAATGAGTGTACACACTTAAATAAATCACCTGGTATATAGCATGCAGTTAGTTTCGAGATTCTGGAAAACCTGTAATAAAATATTATTTACTGTTAAGTATGCGTAATAAATCATATTATCGACCTCCCCTATTCCTTCACATTAATCTAAACTGAACATTACCATGTTTTTATATGTATAAAAAAAAACAACTACAAAAAAATACAAAATACCAGTTGACTTTCTGGAAAACGTTCGCCAGCGGCGCACGCAAGGACGAAACGGCACAAAGGACGTTAATTTTTTTACCTGAAACAGTCGGCTAGTTTCGCAATTCAATAAAAAAACAAAAATGATAATAATTTCCCGAGTTTGAACGGACATGCGTCGCGGAAATCGCGTATTACAATTTATCTTAATAGTATTTATAATGATTTCGAATGTATTATTTTTATATTAATTTTTCAATTAACCGACGATTAAACAACCCCGCGACGACCGGTTTCGGACCGAACCACCTCGTCGTCGGCCACAGGTAGTATATTATAATATTTACTACTAAGTACGTGTTATTTGTCGTTATACCTGATTTTAAAGCAGACATTTACAATGTGCTTTTGCATATTTTTATCGGTTAATCAAAAAAATAAATAAATAGAAATATAGCTATAGTTTGTATCAAAATGTGTTTGGCGTGACCTATAACGACTCGACGTCAACAAAATTATCTCGCGTATTTCGGTACTACTTAATAAAGATTTCGTACATTTTTACGACATTTTCAACGCCACAAATCAAGACAGATCAATCGAAAGATTAGCAAATTGTTATTATAATATGTTATTTAGTTCCCGTGTTTTGTATTAATAAAATACTTTTTACCAATACAATTATTATTTTTTTTTTTTTTTTTTAATATTTCAAATTTCAAATTACTGCATAAAATAATTTAATGCATCAAAAACCATGGAGTATTTTCACTAGGATTAACTATAACAATCAAATAAAATATATTTAATGGTTTTAGAACATATGCATATCTGCACTGAACATATTAGAGTTGACAATTTATACACTTGAAAGGTCGTCACGTTGGCAATTGCCGTGTTTGCCGAACGGATAACGTGCATAAGAATAAAATGTGTTGACGTAAAACAACCGAGAAGGGCTTTTAAAAACGGTTTTAGAGACAAAATACCGCTGTTATGGTACTATTATTATAGAATAATCTTTATGGACGATAACGTTTTAATGAAAACCACAAAAATATTCTTAAGATACAATTAAAATTAAAAATCCAAACTATTACACTTAATGATTATTTATCAATTATCATGTTTGTATAATTATAAAACTAACCGCGGAAACCGTAAAATATTAATTTTGGAACGAATATCAACACGAAATTACAAAACGTGATTTGAGATTTTCATACTGAAAACTTCTGCGATTGTCACATAGCATAGATTTATAGATTTAGAAAAACTTCTTTCGGGGTCACAAGCCGTTGATGGTGCATATTTAAAACAAGAAATGTCTGACCTTACCTGGTCTTTATTTGATTTCAATCTACGCTATTGGCATTGTGTTTTGAAATTTCTAAATGTTGAGTAACCTAGGATTATCTATCACATGTTTGACGTTGTTTTCACAAAAAATACAAAATAATAGAACTCCATCTGTAAAAAGACACCTAGATATTCATTCACGTAAAATTGCGACTTTTCTGTTGTTGGCATTTTCTTGAGAATATTTGACACTAAATAAACAAAATACTATTTGATACGAGCTGAAAAACTACAGACAGATTACACCAACGAGCAATCGCCACCGACTAATAACCCAAAAATCCAGTCATTATCCAATAAGCGATAAACTATAGACTCTTCCGATACTTCCTATTATATGCTCACAGAATTTATGCTATCGCGCTGCCCAAACAATCATCTGAAGTTATCTGATGATGGAAATTAGAATTCAAAATAGCTTTTACAAGAGGTTAAACCGTCTCTGAGCAAAATTTAAAAAAACAATTGATTTACCGTTTATAAAGTATATAACTCCCATACAAATATGTAGATATATGTAATTTATAGTCATTTTTACTTAAATATGCAAAAATATGCAAAATAAAATATTGACTATAAGAATCTACACATTACGAAACTCCGATATTTTTAATCAAAATTATTCTAAGCAGAAAAACGTGCACTTGCATAAAAATCCGGGCTCTAATATTAACTCTTTTCGAAATTTGATTTCTAGAACATTTAAGAAACAAGTGATTTGCATTGACTACTGCAATTCAGTCCAATGTTTGCATATTATATAATAGTGTCCTTTGTGATGAAATTATTATTTTTTTTTCAATTTTTGGTAAAATTGAATAATTATATAGGTACACTTATTAAATTATACACGTGTGTGCCATCATGACTAGTTGCTGCTGCAGGTTGCAGTATGTAAAATAAGAAAACCTGTTAGTCTTATTTTATTTATAATAGGTCGTTCAGCACGTGTAGTATAAATATAATGATGTAATTCTCTCTTTCTTTTTTTTTTAATGTTTTCTATTGTTTTTAGCGCACGTGCTTCGATGTAGGTATGTTCAAAGGGGAAAAAAAAATAACGCGAGAGGGCTACGGCAACGGATAATAATGACGACACGAGCTAATTGTCAAAAACTGCACGTGCAGGTTGATTAACGCGCGACGACTAATTGACTAAAAGAAAAAAATAATTAAAAAAAACGAAAATAATTAAAATGATAATAAACTATATCCCCCCCCTTCACACACACACACACACAAATAACGAAAATTATACTACGAGTATAATACGATGGCGATGTATTACGTGGCAACGTGCTCGTGCGGGTCACACGATCGGAAGTCGACGCCACATGACGGGGGGGGGAGGGTGGAGTAAGAGAAAATAAACAATTCCGAGTGTCCGAGTAAAAGGACAGCGCGTGTAATTTACGCAATGTAAAAAGGGTACGGAAAAGGGGTTAGAAGGGTCAAAAGGGCATCGGAAGACGTGCCCGTCCGTGGGAAATCGTCCCATTGTTGTTGTCCGGAAGGGGGGTCGGCGGACACCTGAAATTCCGGCGCGTGTATCGCAACGCGACCGGCCAAATGTTCGGGAACGCGCACCGCGATCGGGAATAATAACGTAACAACAATGAAATATTCGGGATTCACGGCGGCGACGAAGATAACAATAATAATAATAATAGAATAGCCGGTGTCCGGTGTGAGAATTTCGACGTGAATACAAAAACCGGTGTCCGCGCGACGGCGATGGGAAACGCCGCCGCGGACCAATACGTGGAACATCCGGTTTTTCGAACGTGTCCGGTAAAAGGCCGACAAAAGGGTTGCCGGGTCCGATCGAATATATCGCCCGTCGGCGCGGCGGCGGCCACCCGTATCCTCATTTTATTATTCGATTTATTTTTTTTTTTCTTTTGATTTTCCCGTCGTGTCCGCCGACTGTAGGTGCGGAGACGTACCGCGCCAAACCGTCTCCGTGGGAAACGTCCCGGCCGAAACGCATCGCCGATGAATTATGTATATCCAAAGGTTATTGTAACCTTTATGTAACTCTATGTACCTATACGAAAACGGTGATTTTTTTTTTTTTTTTAATGATAACTATTATGCGTTTACACAATACCCGAGACGGCGATGCGCGCCAGTAGATTATGAGTATGTGAATGTCTCGGAGAAACGGTTTTTCGACCGACAATATTATGTCCTGCAGGGCACACTCATACAAGGCGTGATAGTTCCGTCGTTATTTATTTGTTGCCGAAAAAAACGCCATTTACAAAACAATCGACTAAAAATATACGGATATACTACCGCGCGATTGGTGTGTAGAGACTGCAATAGAGATTGCAGTAGACGAGAAGTTCGGAAGGCAAGATATAGAGAGAAATTTAATATATATATATATATATGTATCCAACGATTAATCTTTGATAACGAAAAACGACTGTGAGCGGATTTTGGTTGTACATTATTGAATAGCCGAAATATTTACGATTTGATAAAAAAGTTGACCACGGAAAAACAAAATGAATAAACATCGTTGTGAAACCAATATATTCCTCGCTCCGCTCAGAATCTAAAACGTGTGGTACAACAGTACCTACTTTGAAAACTATACCTAGTTGTAACGTTAAATAACCAGCGATCAAATTAATTTGCTATGTAAATCTATAACAAAATAAACACGATCGTGCTTAATTATTTGAATATAACAATTTATTTGAAAATAAACTGAAATTAAATTCAAAAGAATTTCCTGTTTTTCGTTTCATATATTCAACCAACAGAGTTGGGAAGTTTTTTTTTTTTTTTTAAATGTTCTCAAAACGGAATTTAAGCGATTAGAGAGTGCTTTTCACATGAATCTACTGTAATAACGAAAAGAAAATAGTTTCAATTAGGTATACCGTTTTAATAAAAAAGTGGAGGGGTGCATTATGAAAAATAACGAACCCTTTTTGAAAATTGGAAATTCTTGGCTACGAGCCTGACATATCGAACAACATAACATTGAAAAATGAAATTTAAAATTGTACGTATACTACGCAGTATAAGTAAACCACGACGGCGGCGGCGGCCAGTTATTTCAATGTGCGATTATTAATTTATGAGCTTCCATACTGTGTTAGTGTGTTACTATATTAAAAAAAAAAAAAAAAAAAAAAAAAAATAAGAATAATATTATTATGTTTTACCGAACAATCTCGTTTTCTGTACGATATTATACGGCGATGGTTTCGCGAATATGGGCTGTGATATTTTTTTAATAATATTCATAATCTCGTTTTCCGTACGATATTATACGACGACGGTTTCGTGAATATGGGCTGTGATATTATAGTTTTTAATAATATTCATAATTCATAATAATATATTATTACGATACAAGGTACGCAAGTATACGCGCTCGTGAGTCGTGTTTGTACGTGTATACGACGGTGTCGCCGTAATGAATTCATTCTATGCGTACCGAGAAATGTAATATTTAATTTCTACTTTTTTTTTTTCAATACATCCCATAAACATTATTATGTAACATATGGGTCTTTTCTTGTATTTCAGTGGGTATTTTTTTCAATTTTTTACCGTTTCGCGTTTTTAAACAATTCTCTTACGACTAATATTGCTCCAATTAGACTATATTAAGAACATGATTTTTTTTTTTTTAGTTCCTCATAATTGTCTTTATATCGGAAGGGAGGCGGTGATATTTATGAAATTCAGCGTAACCAAATAATCGTAAAAACTTTAAATGATCGCGAATACGTTTACATACTCGAATACAATTTTTGATAAATTCCGTCATTTTTTAATAATATTTATAGTTGACTGAAAAAAGCCAACTCCAATTGCCATTGAAAAATACGCTTTTATCAAAAATATATATTATAATATATAGGTTTTTTTTTTTTTTTTTAAACTCTTGAAATAACAAACGAAACGGAGAACGACTCTGCGGACTATGGTTATATAATATGCAAGTAATATACGTTTACATCGCGATACAAGCTGCGCGCAGTGGACATTGTACCATCGTTTGCATATTTTATGGACTAATTTTTATAATAATAAAATTAATAATAGAAAAAATTAGTTTATCGGGACACTGTTGTGTAGGATTTTCAACGACGAGTCCGTTTCTGTAGTCAGTAAAATCGATTATTTTCAAAACGCACAAAAACATGACTACATTTAAAACGGTAAATAACAAAATTGTAACTCAAAACTGTAACAAGTTCCATTGGATCATATGAGTTTTGATACTGAAGCATATTTAACCCGCGTCGAAAATCATACGATCCATTTAAACGGTATCAAAACTTATGTATTCCATTCCCACTACCAAAACTCACTTCTCTAAACTTCAACCTNTTTTTTTTTTTTTTATCCTTAATTACCAAAAATAAAAAAGTCATTTTAATCGTTCTACAAGATATCTTTTTCTCGGTCTTTTTATTTTATCTAGAAAAATGTTATTTTCAAAACATATAAGTTTCATTTTTAGCCTACTCAATATAATATATTGATACAGACATACAGTATATTATTATCATAATATAATGTTTATATAATATACGGTTTGATCAAATATCAAAGGACAAAGCAGTCGGATGAGGTTGGATTGCATAATATTTCTCGTGTAAAATAAAATATAAGTGTCTACGTATAATATGCATTATTGGACATATAGACCTCGTTGTGATATTTAGTTTTGTTATATTAATATGATAATCGAATAAATAATATTTTATGAACTCATTATAACTAGTTATACTTGGAACCACATTTTCCTATTAAAAATGCGCTATACGTAAATAATAATGAAACAAATAAAAAAATAATAATATTTTAACCGTCAAGATTTATTCAAGTACATTTGTTTCCTAGGTCGTCCGATGGCGATTGTTTTATGATAATATTATGTTTTTATTGTTGATTTAAAAGAAGAAAAAAAAAAATGCAATATGTCACAGCGCATTGCACTCCGTTTTTCAATATTTTTCATCTCAAACGTTTGAACACGTCTTTAAAAAAAAAAAAAAGGTCAACTTTTTTATATCGTTATTTGAAATCTAATGAAAAATCGGAAAGTTCAATGTGACGTGTAAGATTTTGTTGTTTATAACAAATGGTCGGAAAATATTGTATTGACAATGAGTTATCCCTGTTCTCGCGAAATTATTCAAAAACAATTAGTCTAACCAACCCTAATGGGTGTCGGGCAATATACTTTAGGAAAATTCGTATCTGTCGTCGTTAAAATGTTAAAAATAACTTTCATACTTTACAAATTCGGAGAAAGATTCGGAAAACCGGCACCGGACCCCACAGTACTGAAGTGCGTACTGCAGTTATATTATTATTAATTCGCATATAATACCAAACGGGGGAGGGGGGGGGGTAATGGGAAAATGTTAATTTTCTAAGACCCGTTCTCACCGACGTGTACGTTGACTTTTAAACGGAGTTTATAAGACAATCGACCAATCGCGATCGGTCATCAGCCATAAACTCGGTTTAGGAATCAGATAGACGCCTTTTTTACGTTGTTGAGAACGGCCCTAATAGTACGTCATAGTCAATGGACTTTTCTCTATACGTACCCGACATTCGTGTCTGTGTATTTAATCGGAATTTCTGAAAAATTAAATTGTTTATACAGTTTAGGACGGAATTTGTTTTCAAATCTATTGCCTAGTTGTGTCCGCCATTAGACTGGTTATGCATTTTTTTTGTTTTCTGTTCGTAGCTTACAGGCATATTGAACACCGTATACACTACACAAATGTATTTTGATAATATATTATATTACTGTCAATTAATCCAGGTGTAAACTTAGCGTAGTTTAATAAATTACTATCGATTTCCAAATACTGCAGGCGATCCCATAAACAACAGAAACCCAACTCTGTTAATCTAACCTTTATTTATGTAACATTTCAACGGTGGTAATTAATTAGCTAATTGTATTAAATTATAACTTGAATAAACCACATAAATCATTAATTATAATTTAGACGCATAGGCAAACGAAAACGTATAGGTTACTAGGTTTTAAATCATTTTTGACAGCCCAGTCAAACACATTGTATTGTAACCTACATGAATCTATAATGTTCGAAAATATACTCGCCTAATACCTATAATTAATTTATTTTAAACGCCTTGGTTGCGTTCGATTACTCGACGCGAGTGAACTTTAATTGTCTCGAGTAAACTCTCGTTTCGTTCGAGATGTCAGAGTTAACTCTGTACTACCCCGTTCGGTAACTTAAAGTCGTCAATTCCGGATTAACTCGATTGATAAAGATGCTTATAACATAATGATAAAAAGATTTCTCCCTTGCCGTCACGAAGACAAAGAAAATATAGAGAAGGCAGAGAAGATCCTCTCTACACCCTGCTCACCGCACATCTTTGTTTCTAGTTTCGCGTTTTCTTCACGGTTGCTCAATGACTTAATCTATAATACGGAAAATTGTCAACAGTTCTTATGATTTATTGTCAATGTTAACCTTATTTTTAACCATGCCGTTAATTTGAATAATTGATAATATGGATATTTTACTATATATTATGTTCCTACTCTAGTCCGACATTACTCTGAGTTTTCAAACGCAGCCCTTAATTGCTTAATTTATTGAATAGATAAATTAGTAATTACCTAACCTACTCACGTCTGCAGCTACCAAAATCGTTTGCGAGTGGCAATTATATTTTACGAAATCCTTTTCGAATACACTAAACGGAAAGATCGCTGCAGTCACGTAAATGTGAGAGTTTGAATTATTATTTTACGTGTACCTAATGCGAGTTTTGTTTTTGAGTTTTTTCCCTCTATGGCGAAATTAATGGAAATTTTCTCTTTCTCCTTCCCTCCCACCCCCCTCGAATATTACACGACCTCAATCAACAAAAACCGCGTACCGTTCAGTGACGATCATAAAGATAAAAAGCAGAATCTAAGCTACTATCGTGATTTTTTTTATTCTTTTCAAATCTTATTTCGGCTACCCGCTAAACTAGTTTGAGATTCAACACTCGGTTTCCATACATAAAATATTATAGGTATACTTGTATAATAAAAGTAATAAACGTTTAAAATAATATTTATGTCGTCGGATGTGTTGTTTATACAGGTGGGTTACGGTTAGTAAAAATGTATACCCGATAAGATTTCCGTTTTGAAACATAGATAGATACGTACTTACCGCGATAGGGAGGAAAATCGAGTGGGTATACGTTGAAACTAATGTAACCGTGAATAAAAAACATGGTTGTATTATTTAAATCCGTTTACTACGCGCTGCTGTCGTGTAAGTGATGTTAAACGACACCCATAAGCCGGGTTTAATAAACGTTTAACGAACCGTCAATGGTCAAACGAATCACTTAAGTTTTCAACGATTCGCTAATTTATTAATGTTAATTTAGCGGTCCAACTAAACTGGAGTTGATCAGTTCGCTAATTAGAGGTCCGAATACGGCTGGTCAAAAATTTAAACATTGCCGATTTATCCCATTTGGAACCAGCACTAAAAACTACGGGTTTCTCAGAAAATTATATTTTTCCAGCACAACGCGTGGGGTTTGAATAGTGTTTCACTACTCTCTCCACTTTCTGATGTTCCCAGGGGAAGCACGTGCCCCCCCCATATTAAATAAATTCATTATATTAATAAAATGCATTATTGGTAGTAATATTATAAGTATAATGAAATATATTGTTTTATACAATTGTGTATAATATCCAGGGCCGCGGTCGGGGCGCAAAGCTAAGTAAAAAAAAAAAACTCGTTCATCGACCGTAATATATTACACGAGACGGGCAACTCCTTATTTAACCTGTGTAATTTTACGACAAATAGTCTGACCTCTCTGTAGCCTAAACCAATGTACTGACTATTTCGAAATTTACACAGGTTGATCAGTATGTTAAGTAGATGATACTTTTGTAAACTTCAAGTTGATCGGATGATTACAGAGCTTGAGTAATGTGCAAAAGTATTAACATAGTTTTTACTCGAAACGCTGTTTTTTACAACAATTAAACAATGTATATTATGCTGTACCCGTTGTTACCACCTGGTTACGACGGTCGCCGTTTGCGGTGAATAAAACACAATCTTGTTTATTTATTTGATCGCTTTATTACAATCACTTCATCAAATACAAACGGCGGTCGCCATAACCGCACACTTTTATATATAGTTTTCCCAAAATGATAACATCCAATACAGCACACGTTTTACTTTGTGTCCTATTGGACGTGGTTTTGTCCAACAAATGGAGGATTATTTTCTAATAAAATTGTCCGAGTGAGCACAGCGAGCGAGTGACCATATTGGGTCTCCAATTTCACCTAATGTTTTTTACTGCCAATCGAATGTATGCAGTTTTAAATTATGTGTGCGATATGGAACGATGTAAAATGTGCGCTTTTGAACGACGTTCAAATCCAAAAAATTATAGACAATTTCTATACTAATGAATTTAAGATATTACTTAGTCTCTTTGTGATATTACAACTTTTCTAACTTTGTTTTACCGACAAATTTGACGTTTTAGACTGAACAGCCAAAACAAACTGTTGGAATTGCTTAACTAGGATACGTCGGGTTTATTTTTATGATATCAAATTTTTTGACCGTAACTAAAAGTCAAAATACTATAAATACACTGTTGAAAATTGTTGAAAATACAATCAAATTTGATTACAACTTTCATTAAAAAAAAAAATCCTTTTTAAACACGTCCTAATAAAGAACCTGAAGAATCATCATCTGTTTTTTAAAATTGAAATCCGCTGAACACAATTCCTACAGTTTCGTTGACTTTTAGGTATAAATATTATAAATCGACTCGAATATACATCATTACCAATTCTATTAACATGAAAACAATTCATTTTTAATATTGAAATAAATAATGGTAATAATTTTTTGTAATTCGAAATTATAACATTTCTAAATTTCGAATTTTAAGTAGTGTACGTTAGTCACTTTTCGATTTGTATTATTTGCATCCATAAAACAAACTGAACAAACACGCAATTACTAATATTTAATCTCTTCCGATAAATACGAATCGTTGACTGGGCCAACATGCAAGACTTGTTGAATCTATAAAAATTTCTCATTTTACCACGAAAAATCGCAAATGCCTATACAGACTTGTAAATGCAAACTGTAAGCTTATTAGAAAAATTCTGCGCCTCCTGTATCGACCTCCTCGAAAAAGTTATTTTTTACACTAGACTGCGCAATAATAATAAAAAAAAATCGCCGAATCGCCGTTAATGAACTTTGGGTAACTTATCGATTCAGCCAGTAGTAGTACGGGCAAAAACCCGATCTATCGATTTCGCCGTCTACAAATTTCTACCCGTGCTAATGTACATAAAAAAATAAATGCAGCGAATCGGAACGCGTAAATGCAATATAACAGATAACATTATTTTAAGGATTTGCAAAATAATACAACGACTACCGAACGTTTAAATATTAAAATAAAAACGTAATTGGTGATTACCAATCAGTGTAGCCGTATAATTGGCTAAAAGCCATTATAAGACCATATTATGTTATACACACTGGTCTTTACGGTTCGAATGGATTTATTGTCGTGTAGATTTTATGTATTATACGTTTAACAACCCGACCCGAAGACGTTTCAATCGTCACGCGTCCGTTTCCGCGCCCGGTTAGGTTAGGTCGGGTTACGTAGACACGTCTCAGCGTTGCGGTCTCCGCTGCCGACAAAATAATAACGCGCGGTAGTCGGGCGTGCGGCTATTAAAAAAAAAAAATAAAAAAAAAATAAAAGCTTTTTAATCTGGCTTGTGATACCCGAGCTTAAACGTATTTATATTATAATATTATCGTTTTAATACGGAATGCAATGCGTATTATAATAATATTATAAGCACCGACGATCGGGATCGGATGAACCGAGCGCTAAGCCGCCGATCGACAGGTGTGCAAACGGTATACCTACACGCGCGTTTACACGTTCCCTGAAACTGGTTTGACGTATCGTCGCGTCGCCGCCGTTCCGGTGTAGGTAATTCATTGTTAAAAAAAATAAAATAAAATAATAATGAAAATACCGATCCCGGGACACGTGCGATAAAATGATAATTATATTATACGATTGTTATAGCGTATGAAACGACTTCTGTCCGCCGCCGGAACAATCGAATTACCGCGGTGTGTCTAATAGAGGGCGCCGAATTGTTTTTTTAAACGGTACTGATTATCGCGGCGCGTTTCAACAATGTTAGTTTATTATTAATTGTTTTGGCGATCTCCCTTTTTCCGTTTTTGTTTTTGTTTTTTTTGTTTTTTTCTGTTTCGTTCTCCTGGTCCTATTCCGCGTCCGACGGCCGCGGTGGCGGACTATACGTATTAAATATAATTTAATTGTACAGGTTATAGCGGTTAAGACCGTAAGTTGGGTCGTCTCAGATCAGGTAGTATACCGTGTTCAGATACGATAATTCAGGCTGTCGGGCGCGTGTGACGTCCGGCCGCGAAGCGGATTCCAAAACGACATTTCAGAATGATGGGTTTCGATAATCGTGAGAATTTGGTAAACTTTAAAATAAAATTGACTCGCTGCAATTAAACGTAGGCCTAAACTATTTACTTATTATTCAGTTAGCAAATTAGTGTCAACAGTTTTTTACTGAACGCTTTTATGGTAATTTATAAATATAATTGACGAGCATAAAATTATTGTCTAAACGGGTTGATCGAATCCTTTTTCATACAAGGTTTGCATTTGTATTAGTGGCCTAAACGTTCCTAGTCCAAACACGCTCCGCCCATTTTACGGTAGCCTTTCACGTAAAGGAGTGCAAAGGATTTTAATACCAGAGAAAATCATTACTCCCCGGCAATAAGATAATCCTATCATAATCATACCCTCAGACTTAAAATTATACACTGGGAGTAAGATTTCGCTATAATAATCATACCACGCATCGGAAACAAAATCCTAGAATGTATAATTACTTAGTAACTCAGTACAGTGTAATTTCGTATTTGATGCGTATTTTACGTCGCACGTAACATCGTGAAAAATACGCGATAATATTAAATGGATATTTAATATAAATGGTGCTTGCCAGACGATTCAATAAATTGTACAATATTAACAAAATTATAATACGTGACGCCAGGAATATAGTGAAAAAAAAAAAAAGGTACGCTCTTTTTTTCTTAGGAATTAAGGATTCTAGTGATTCTGAAGTTTGGTTAAACGTGTGTGAGTTAGGTAAAACTATTACCAAAAAGTCACGATTGTTCGCGTATTTCCGTTTCAAATTTTTGAACAATTTTATGGAGCCGACAAAGCATCGTCCACATCGATTGGAAAATATAATTGGTACGCGGAATTCCGTGATTCTTTACAATTTTCGTGAAAATGTCAACTTTAAACGTTTATTTAACCCCTCCACCCCCACCCCAATGAAAAATTATCTATATTGTTACACCGTATAGAAAAAATCTTGTGTCGAAATGTCGAGCGTTTTTGAGAAACCAAAAACATATTATCGAACGTAAAACTAAAAAAAAAAAAATAACTCTGAATATTCGAATACAACTTGACACAGTGAATTTGAAAATGGTTTTAAAATTTTGAATTCCTTACTTGTTTTGTGCGTAATCCATGCGTGTAGACTACAACTGAAACTCGATGACGGTATCTGGTAAAAAAAGTTATTTACGGACCAAAAGAAAAAAAAAATTATAATTGTAAAACCCAATATACTGGAGCGTTCCTTGCCGCTCAGTATCTGAAAATATGTTAATACTAAAAAAATATTAGAAAAAGAAAAGAGACAGACATACTTCGTACGTGGGTGCAACCACTGTTGTAGATGAGAAGTTCGGGAAGATAGGATACAACGAAAACTAACGAAAACGATTCTGAACAGATTTCAGTTGATAGTGTTGCTTTGTCAACAATACAATATATGGTATATATCATATTATGGTAAAATGATTACAACAATGTGCATTTCCATGACAACAATGAGTGTTTAAAAAAAATTAATAATAAAAATAAATAAATAAAAACGGTTGCCAATAATAATCTTATTTTTAGTCTTTCAATTTTTTTTTTTTAACCTAAAGACCGAGGTTTTCCTCATTTTCTCGAATATTAATGAGAGTTTCTAAAAATGACCTCCATAAAGTACCACCCAGAGAACATTTCCTTGTAGAAAAAGTGCTATACTTGATAATCGAAGTATACTCTCTGGTAGAAAAAGTGTTCATATAAAAAAAATAAACATCATTGTAGAACCAATACACTCGTTTCTCCATTCATATATCTAAAACATACAATTTTCTATAGCAATACGTGTTGTTTTTTTTTACAGATAGAGTACCTGTGTATAATATCCACTCGGCCACTTTTTAACGAAAATCGTTTTTGTCACGTAACATTAGAATATTGACTGAGCATTATAATATTAATATATAGTTTAGTATAATAGTGTATTCGCATTACATTTTAGTCGATTATAAATATTTTATACACCAGTCAATAATAATTGGGCACTAAGCGCAGTGTATAATATTTATTTATATACATTGTATATTACTTAAAAAACAAACAAAAAAAGAAACCTAAAAACCAGAATATTAAAAGTATAAAAAAATTCGCAGCACTTAAATAGTATACTATAACGGGCGCTTATATAACGCGGCCCCTAGGCGAGCAAGTAAACATTCTGTTGACCCGTCTTCAAGACGATAAATTTGTACGGAACCCGGAGATAACGAAAAAAAATATTTTAAAAAAAACCGGGAAATGCGATTTTTTATTAAGTGTTATTAATTTTTCAATAATAATAACATTATAATAAAAAATATCGCATACGATTATTTTATGATGAAAAATAAAAACTAAACGCGGAATAATATTATCACAGATTATCGAAGGCGCAACTATATTATAAAATAGATATAGTTGGGTGTCTATTTTTTTTTTTTTTTTTTTTTTATAGTGTTGTAGAATTATATGAAAACCGGTTAATATTTCTCGTCTTAAACACGTGCCGTACGTATAATAATTATTGATTTTTGTTTTTTTTTCGTATCTATTTCACGAAAACGCAAAATCCACGGAGATTTTTTTTTTTACGTTTATATTTGTTTCCGTTTGTCAAGTATTAATGTACAAAAACGATATGATCATTAATGACGGTATATTATTATCGATTTTATACTTGTTTCAAAAACATATAAAGAACACGTAAAACACGAATCTTGGTTAATAAATTAACGAAATATTTACATAATGACGGGCCGATAATACGTGGATTAATAAAATATTCGGTCTCTATATTAACGCCACTGTAAAAATAAAAAAAAAAAACCCGATACGGCAAGAAAAAAACCAACGGTATCGTCGATTTATTATTATTATAAATTAATAATTCATCGGAGTGCATTTTAGTACATTGATATTATATATCGTAGATTACGAGAAACGATGCGTATTATAAATTTATTACGATGCGCATATAATAAAACACGAATAAAACTGATGTTATCAATGATAAAAATTCGAAACTCGGCGAAATAACTTGTCGTTTTAAAGTCCGTAAAAATGAATTCGTTAAAAATCTACTAATGAAAAACGTATACGTATACTCACATAGGTATACCCAGTGTTTATTTCAGGGAGGTGACCGAGGGGATGGTGGTATTACCACCCCCTGAAAATGTATGATATTACACTTTGTAAACTACGCACGAAGTGATATAATAATACATGAAATGAATAATTATGGGCCGATTACAAGTCATCTCGTTAACAATAAAATTTAAAAAGGACGTCCTGGGATAATGAGGGGGGTGCAGCCATTGTTACAAACAATTACGAAACAACGATTCTGAGAGGAGTTCAGTTGATAGCAATCATTTTTAAATAATATATATGTAATTTTATAGTAAAAAATAATTAAATAGGCTTTATACATTTTCTTTAATAATATTTGTTTCGAGTTGTACCGATTTTTCCAGTTCTTCTACGTTTTTCCCGGTTTTCTCGTGTTTTATCCCGGTTTTTAACATTTGCTGAGAAAATCGAAAAATGACCTCTTCACACCGTTTTCCTTTCAGAAAAAGTGTTACATTTAAAAATCTGAGCAAGTCTTCTGGAAGAAAAGTTGCAAAAAATAAACACCATAAGCTTCTTCGTTCCACTCAAAATCTAAAAAATATTGCGTTATACGTATAAATAACCGTATTTTAGCGAGCTCAGAAAAGTCATTATTGAGAATATTTTCTTAATTTTTTCCCCAAGTATAAAACGTCTAGATCCGGTCTCCGCCTTTGACATACCCCTTTAGAAATTTACGATTCCCCTCCGAAGATGAAGGATTTGTTCAGTACACGGTTTTTGAGATTCGCGTAAATACGTGAAAACGTGTGCTCGTGAAATAGGGAGCTCTAGTAAAATCTGTAGTGACGAGCACGACTACGAGTAGTTATTTATCATGTCGGGCTATCCAACAGATCGAAAACTGTTCATCAATTACGGGAAAAACTATCCGAATAGTTTTCCAATATATTTTATAGATTTTCTGGATAAAAAAATGTTCGATCGAAAAAAAAAAAATTCGGTAGCTAATCTAAAGTATCGTAAAATTTACTTAGAGTCGGGTATATTTATATTTAATTGGGGTTTATTTAGGAAGCAAGGAAGTTTTGATCATATTTTCTCGAATGGAAACTTCTATTTCTATTAAGCAGTATGCAGATTCGATTATTGATTTGTTTTTTTCCGAGCAACTTTGGCGGATACATCTCAAAAATTGTCCGACGAGATTCAGCCGTTAAAAGTTTAGCTATTGATAATCAATGTACGATTTATTTCTCGATTTTACAAAAAATTTAAAACGCACTACTTTAAAAGCGAAGAAATATTTTGCACTTCTGTTTAACGTTTAGATTCTATAATACATATTAAAAAACTTCTCGTCCTCGATGTATCGTTTCATACTAAAATTATTATTTTTCCTAAAATTTCTGTAAAAATTAGTTTCATTTGCGACGAGACACCACTGGTTTAAGTGACGTAAGTCGATGGGTTGATTATTTATGATATCATCAATATTTTTCGTTTCTACCGACAAATTAGGCAGCGCGAATTTTCGCGATAATTTTCGAAATTTTATCACGACCCGTTTACACAGCTGGATCTCTTGGTACGGCCGATCGTTTCATGTGTTATCGTTAAGGATTTGTTTATAAGCTGCGGAAACGGAACAGTCAGCGCCATCGTACGTATAATAAATACCTACATATAGTATTTGCGCAGACTACGGCGGCCGTTTTCGAAAAAATGTCATAGGGAGGGGAAAAAATACTCGCGATTTTGTTTGTTTTTTTTTTTTTTATCAACTCGAAGATTATTGTACGCCGGTGCGTGTATCGTACGCTGCAATACAATATACGCGTGCCAGGGTACGGGGGTGGGGGATAATAGAACTTTAACGAGACGCGTTCTCGCAGGATTGCGGAATTACGAAATCTCCGCGTATTTGTACTGATACGGGATCGTGAACGGTTAAAAAAAAATAAAATAAAACGAAAAATCTCAAAACGACTGACCCGAATGATCGGGCCCACAAGCATAACGATAATATATTTTATTCATGAGACGTATAGTTCATCGCGGGCGGATACTTATTTGGTCGTCGCGATGATGGATGATAACGCGTCGCCGCAATACGAAAAGAAACCTCAGCGGACGGTCGTTAATTAACCGAATTTCTCGACGGCCCGGTATCTCATCGTTCGTGCCGGAGAGTCCGGTAGTCCGTCGCGCGGAATACCGGTATTTTTTTTTTATTTATTTTTTTTGTCGAGGGGTTTTTTTTGTCCGTTCTCCGTTCTCCGTTCGATTACCGTTCGAGTGAGACTACACGGTACGCGCATAATATACCCGGCATAATATATTATACACAAAGAAATAAAAACGAAACGCAAATAAATAAACCGCCGCTGTTAAAAAACGCACGGCGGAGATTGCGAAACCCGTTACAATAGATGCGCCGTTTCCTAGACGTCTTCTCGGCTCGCTGCGGCGTACGTTATTATAGCGCATAAAAACGTAACGTTTTTCTCTCGAGACTTTGCACAACCCCGCCGCCGAAAACGGGTTGGCGAAAACCGGCGAAAGAAGTGCCGGGGGGAAAAAAAAAAAAAGAAATGAAAACAAGGAGCGAATAAAAACCGCCGGCCCGTCCCTAAACGGGGAGGGTTCCCGCGGCAGACGGAAAATGGACGCCTCTGCACGGCGTTACGGCATTACGGCCAGCACGGCCGTCTTCTCTTCGAGGGATGGGGGGGGGGAAACCGGATTTCGGAAAAAACACAATGCACAATACACGCGTATAATGCTCGGACACCATTGTGTCCCACCCCGTCGGTTAGGTGCGCGTGTGATGCGCTCGATTATCGCTGTTATAATATTGTACACGTATTGGAGACGAACCGCCGCGGCCGATGACGACAAAATCGCCACGGTTTTTTTTTTTTTTTTTTTATTTATTATTATTATTATTCGTATTTATTCGTATTCTTTTTTTTCGCTCGGCGCCGCCGCGCAGTTTTTCTCACGATTATCGCTATTTACTAGACGTACGCGACGTCCAACCCTTCCGGACCTCTCGGCGGTTCCTCCGTGCCGCCGGTATTTGCAGCTGGTGCGCGGCCCCCGTTGTTGTGACGTGGTCAGCCGAAGACGGGTCGCGATCGCCGCGCGAACAATGGGGAAAAAAAAAAAAAAAAGCAATATAATAACAACGCAATAATAACAGTTTACACGCCGTACGCGATATCGAAACGTCCCGATACTGGTTCTCGGTCGTCTGGAAAACGATACGGCGTTACAACAACTCGTATTCGTATTATGTGCACAATATAATAGTACCCGAGCCGCGCGATATTATAATATCGTTATGTAGCCGCCGTTGTCGTCCGGACCGTCACACCGTAATAATAAATCGTCGTTTTAAAATTTTTTTTTTTTTTTTTACCATACCCGATATATTATAACGGTTCCGGGCCGCGGAAACGATGCAATAATTGCAGTATTTTTACACCCGTAACGGTCAGCGGACGTTCGACATTTGCATATTACACGACGACGTCTCGCGCCGAAATTCAAGTGTCCGGCATGATTAAAGCGCGGCGAAAAAAAAAAAACTATACGCGTTATTTCAACGGACATTATTACGACCGCGAGATGAGAAATCGCTGGGTGTAACGGTTTTACAAATAAAAATAATCCGACACCACACCCAGTGGCGCAATTATCGGGAGTGTTGGGTGTGCGATTCACAGAGGTCCCCGGTTTTCGTGGGGGGGGGGCCTCGTCGACTCCCGAAATCTCTTAAATGTTATTCCTACTATAATCTGTAATATACGCATTACACGTGTTGTATTATTTGTTTTGATATAAAAATAACAAATATATAACAATGTCTTTACTCGTCTGAGTCTAGAGAATTCGAATATTAGGAGCGTCCAATATACCAAATGCGAGAAACCCGTGTACCGTATAGGCGTATTATAGCCATACACAGTCATACAGTGTGACCCGTGCGGGTACCGGAATGCGGGTATAGAGTATTTGAGTATAGACTATAATAGAAACTTCTTATATTATCATACATAATTATGTTACTGTGTGTGCTGCGTAAGTCATGGCAATATACGTCATAGAATTATCGTATTGATATCTGACGATAATATTGGGAATTAACATTGATAATAATTGATATTACTGTATTAGTTTATCACTTATTGGTTATAGCTGCCTTTCTGTCTACATGTTTTTAGTTTTATGTTTATTGAAAACATCTATTTCTTTATATTGAAACTTAATCTGTTTTTGTCATTAAAAACTAAATGGTCTCAAGGCAATATTTGAGTGGGGTTCAAAAACGAAAATTCAAGTTCAAAAAAGATAAGAAGAACTTTAAAAATTAAAAGAGTCATTGGATAATTTTATACGGCCACAATTACCCGATTCAGAAACATCTAATGCAAATCTAAACACTGAATCTGTTAAAGGTATGTTTTGAACAATAATAATTAATGTAAAAGCCATCAATGTAGGTAGCCATCATACTCATACAACATTACTTGTTGGGACTTTTTTTCGGGAATCTGTTATTTATATTGAAGTAGTTTTTGTTACTGATGTTGAAAAAATAACTTATACAAGTGTCATAGGTAAATATAAATTAAATTATTCAGTATAATATCATTTTGATTTTTGTTTTTTGATTTTAAGTATAATATAATTGGATTTAAAGTATAAATATCCAACTGATAAAATTCATTTTAATGAAAATATCAATGATAGTTATATTAAAAGATCTATTTTGGCTTATGGACCCTTTTGACCTTATATAGCTTCGTTCGGAATCAATCTACGTTTTATTTAGTTTCTGAGCGGAGCGATTGGTTTTTTTTTTTTCTGTGAACAACCACTCTATCAAAAATTTTGCTCCGATTTTAAAGTGCAGTGCCTTTTCTGAAAGGAAATTTTATCTGGGTGGTACTTTAGGCTGATGATTTTTCATTTTTTTCCCGGGAGTTTTAATTATAAATGGAAAAATCCAGGTAAAAAACGTAGGATAAACGGGAAAATTTACGAAATGTATTAAGTATTATTATTTAAAACTGGAAAGATTGGATACTATATAGAGTTTATTAAATTCTATCTGTATGTAACGATAAATCATTGTTAATGAAATACGATACTGAGTGATACTGAGAGATTTTTTTTTACCTAACCGTATGAATCGAAAACTTTTTAAGGAAATCGGTGAAGCGAAAAATATATGTTTTAATATGTCATAACGTCCAACGTCCATCCTTAATTTCGGTGTATAGATTTATTTCAAATATCGCTGTTCCCTCTTAGTGACGGATGTAAAGAGGGTCTGAGGGTTTCTGACGGTTCTATAATCCCTCCAGACACCGATAAAATTTCAATAAAATGACTTCTTATAAAATAATTTTCAGGACCTCTCCCATAAAAATATTGAAAATCCACCACTACACCCCTTTCAAGAGTGTAAAAGACCTTCGCACACTTATCACTATATATAATAATAATATAGTCAAAATATGCGAGGAATACAGGAATAGTACACGTGATATTTGTCGGCAATTCGTTATTCCGTCGTCTTCGGTCAATTTTTCAAAACAATCGCAGCGACGAATGTTCTCGCATTCAAATAAACAAATACCTACACACACGGTAAATTTTCCGTCATGTTTATAGGTAAACGTTTTTTAACCGGTTCCGCGACAAACAAGGTTGTAAAAGTGTTTATTTGTGAATTAACGAAATTAATGAAGAAAATATTATAAATCACAATGATAATTCGTCGAATATTCGTTGAATCCGCGTATTCGAAGGTTTCAGTGTAATGGGCACGTGATATTACAATATTATGAACGTTTTGACAAGTTTGGTTTTAGTACAAATAAATTTCAGGTTGTTTATGATGTTTACATTATATTGTAATAGTAATTTTGTTCGCTAATAAACTGATTTAATGCGTGTAAGGAACTCGTTCAGAGTTCTTACGGAAAACAGGAGTTATAGAACGCAATGAATAATTATACTCATTTACACGTATCAAATTATAGAATGCTAACAATTGGATATAATGTTCGACAAGGCTAGATAAATAATTAATGAACAACATTAATTAAGTTTAATGAAAAAGAATGAACGAGTTCATATGGTAAAAGTCAATTGTTGTATCAATGAACTTTATTAAGTTGAAATTTAGTTTGAAATTGTAATTACTTTTTAACTTGAACTTATTTTACTGTTTTTTGTATTTTTTTTTTTTTTGATTTGTTTTACAATTTTTATTTTTGTAGTAAAAATACCTGGTTATTCCTGGTGTTGGGCATTTTTTTTTTAATTTTTTTTTTCAAGTATATATCATCAATGCTAAACATTATTTTGGGAACATACGATTATACATATTTATTTTAAATTCTTAACTACCGCGCACATATTATCAAGCAAAAATAATTAAAAAATTATAATTTATACGATGGTGGCACCTATTGAATCAACATCTAGATGATAAAATTTAATATTGTGTAATTAAAAAATAATAATTTAAATTAACTTAATGTAATTCAAATTAACCCCATTATTTATAAAGTTAATGCACACAAAATAGATTTAATTAAAAGTTAATATTAACACATAACTTTAAATTTAACGTTAATTTTAATTATTAACTTTTAAACTCATTAATGACCAGTCTTGCTATTCTAGAGATCGTTAAAAAATGGTATTCAAAAACCAAACATAATCGATACAAATCCTAAATTAATGAGTATTATATTTTTTATTGTCTAGACTCCTGCAAAAAACAACCAAGTCCTAAAGGTATATTATTATTAATTATTATAAATATAATATTATTATATTATCTTTTATTCGTGGGCGTCTTGAAGGTTGGGGTAGACTGCAATCACCTCGCAATTTTGTATTCTGTCTGAAACGAAGGTATGAGAAAGGGCGATTGACTAAAAATCGTCATATATTTTTTTTTTTTTTATTGCCCTTGTCCCCTCCCCTGGGAAAAAATTCTGCGGACGCTGGTTTTAGTAACACAATTTATTATTTTCGAAATGTACGTAAACAAAGAAACGAACGAAATAATATTATTGCACTTGTCATTTTGTATTGGAAACGTACCTATACTGTTAATACAAATCTGAACAGATTTAAACACCTACCATAATGCGCATCAAATATTGGACGCGATTCGTATTATTGGCACAGAACCTAATTTTTACTTCAAAAAGTCGTAATTCGTATGAACGTCAATTTTTTTTATTTGCAACATTCGAATTGGTCGCCAATACTAATATTCCTAATAACGTGTTTGGGCACTACAGCTAAGTTATAATATATGCACCCAATCAATAATTAATTTCGATATACTTCAAATAATTACCATAATATATATGTATTGATTATTAAACTTGTTGGTGCTCAAACGTACCTGGGCTATTTTTGGTTTGACGTTCCTGCCGAACTTGTTACACGTAGAACTATTGCACCAACGCGTTACGATTCGGGTAGTCCAACCGTTCTTCATGCAAAATAATTATACTGTAATATATAAACTAATAATATTAGACTACAGTTGTGGCTGCGTTTGAAATAAACCGTTCCGTTACACCAACAGGTTTCGAAATTTAACTCCACGGCGTTTAAACATCGTAATAATTGTCTGTAATTTTTTTTTTTTTTTTTTTTGTAAATAATTATGAATTTAAAACACGTTTATTGCCGTGTACGAATTTATAAAGTACAGTGTTATAACCTATAGCCAGCCAATGCAAAATTTATAACGTAAGATGTTATTGACTTTTCATTACGTGTGTATAATGATTTATCGTTAATTGTTGCTATTACTATTTGATTTAAATAAAAATAAAACGAATAACAATTCTGCTGACATTTGATTGATATTTTCTTCACGATTAGCATTATTCGCTATGGCCGACTCGGTTACATATCCATAAAATCTTAACCATAATAGTATTATACGTAAAAACGATTCTGAGTGGAGTTCGGTTGATAGTGTTGCTTTTTCAATAATATATATTGTCATATTATGGTAAAATCATTGTATTTGCATTAAACATTTACTTTAATAATATTTGTTCAATATTGTACCTGTTTTCCCGTTTTCCCTACGATTTTTCTCGGTTTTTCCCATTTATTGGAAAAACTTCTGGGAAAATCAAAAAATGACATATTTACATGCCTAAAATACCACCCAAGTCAGATTTCATTTCAGAAAAAGTGCTATCAATGTAAATTGGAATAAAAAATATAAATAAAAAAAATAGAAAAAAATAAAATAAAATAAACATTGTAAAACCAATACGCTCCACTCAGAGTCTAAAATACGAACAAACGAACGATCGATACGGTGCATTTTAAATTAAACGTTATGATATGTAAATTTGCCCAAAAATTAATAACATGCTAACATACCGATACATAAAATAATGTTTAACATTCTTAATAAATTAAACAAATAAAAAAAATTCTTTAAAATATTCATGCGAAATTTTTATAGGGATTTTCCCGCGCATTAAAGTCGTCTTCATCACTGAAATATTTCGTATTAAAACACCGAATGTAACAGTATTATAAGGAGACGCGACAAAAACAAAAAAAAAAAAAAAACAAAGATAACGAGTTTATTTTATATTCTGCAGTTATTAATGTTAGTTTTATGGGTATGCATTTATACTATAGGTATTACATAACTGCTTAATCGTTTTGATTATATCGAAACAGCATTAATAAAAATAATTTATGGGAACTATATAATATTCAGGGTTTATAACTACCCACGTGAAAAACAGTAACATTCGTCACTGTTTATTATAACGTTCGCTATAATATTCTGTAGGCTTGGAAAAAAAAATGTCCATTTCGTTTATATATATACAGGACGATTCACTCAGCGTACTCGACCCATTTGTCGGGTTAAATTTTGCATATAGATTATTTATAATCTGCAATACATTCCGATTTTTGACATTTTCCAGTGTATTTAAAGCCGATATTTTCGAATGCCTAGATTTTTCATAACATTCAAAGAGTATCCTGTGGCGATACCATTTTTGGTTTTTCAAATGAGAATGTCGATTAAAAATTCCATAGATAGACAGAGTATTACTTAAAATAAATTTTGGATCAACACTTTTCATTTCCATCAACCCGTTGACGAGATATTTAATTTTTAAGTTCAGGTAGTTGGAGAATAGTGAACCTTTAACTACACTTGAAAGTTCCGAAAATCAGAATTCGAATATATGCAAATTGTAACCAAAAAAAAAAAATGGGTCGAGCACGCTTAGCGAATCACTCTATAAACATAAATGTATTTTTTTTTAATGAAATATAAAATGCATACGTTTTAATTAATATTATTGCAATTTTTATCCGATCGCGGCGAAACCAGGGGTGTGAGTTTTCACTAATATACATATGTACGTTACCTATTTATTTTCTAATAAATATTAATTAATTCTAATTAATATTACTTTTTGTTTCTTATTTAAAGTCTTGATTTAAGTATTATTTTTATGGATTATTTTAACAGGCTCTGATTATTGCCGATTGACGCGGATGTGTATCGTATTCACTATCCGTATACTCAAAATGCATTTCCATAAAGAAATTCGTTTCGTTTGCATTAACGCCTGCGTTCAAAACCAATTTAAACCAATTGTAGGGCTCAGTGAAAAACACAAGCTGAGTCGAAAATGGATTGCTGATAGTTTCGAGTAAAACAATAAATGCTTTACATAATTCGGTGCACCGATAATGAAAGTGCGTCAACCAGATGCGGAATAAATAGTAATGAAGACTTTGTCCGGTTCGACCAAACTATGGGCGAACAGAAGACAATTCTACGAGGAGAGACGGTTTTTTTATTCTCTTCCGTAAGCAATTTCGAAAAATCGACTCGCCTTGTTGCTGAGCCCTTCATATTCGCGTTATGTTTTTCAAATAAATTACGTATAACCATTTTGCCAATCCTCGTTTATATACCGTGATATAACTATATTATACAAACGGCATTTGTCGTTGTAACTAACAATGCGCAATTTTCCATCTATAATTTGTTGTTAATAATCATACGCACTCATAGTTTTACCCTTTCAACACCGGTATTTCGTTTAACCAGAATTAATTATATTGTGTAAACATAAATCGAGATCTCTGCATAATGTTCTCAGGTAGGTATAGAAAAATCGCAATAATGTAAACAATTCTGTACAATTTCTGTCGAGACTGCGCGTGTCCCAATGCGGTCTATTCAATAAAATTATATTGTTGTTGCGTGTCCTTGAGACACTGATGCTGCTGCTGCTGCTGCTGCTGTTTGCTGTTGCGGCGTTTCATTTTATTTGGAAATAATTAGGTGCGATATAAGACGAGAAAAAGATTTTATTATTTTCAGTTTCTTTATAGACCGGATTCCTTTGTTTTTGAGATACATGTATATATATATATATATATGTAAAAGTACAACGAATCAAAGAAACCTGTTCCGAAACAATGTTGCAGTAAAGTATACGGATGAATTTATACGAAAAAAAAAAAAAAAAAATATCGAGTATCTTATAAATCTTTGGCCTAAATCCGTATTAATAATATTATTATTATTATTATTATTATTATTATTATTCTATGTGCACACAAATAACCATCGGTTAAAAACCTTAAATAACCATCGGTTAAAAACCTTGACTTGTTCATAAATATTTTGACCAGCGAGGACGTAAGTAAATCTACCTATAACACTCATTCCTATACCTTGTATTATTATTTGTATAATGAATAATTGTCATTATTACAGTTTCGCGGCGAGATAAAAGTTTAAAGCGGGTAAACTAATTTAAATACCATACTATACCTACTCTATACCTACGCCTTGTATATACATGACCAAGCCACGTCGCAGTTATCAGAACTAGACGTGATTTCACCATAACATCGGCCATAAGTAATTGAAATAACGGGACGAACTTGAACGTAATGAAAATAAATCACGAATTAAATGTATAAGTGAATGAATAAAAAGTTGTTTTGTGTGTGTGTGTGTGTGTGTGTTTAGAGGATGAAAATAAAAATTCAATTTTTTCAAATCCGTCGAAGAAAAACCGATTAAAAAAAAAAAAAAAAAACGAAAAGAATTCAATATTAACAGCGCTAAAAAAATCCGTCGAACGCGGTATATTAAACACGAACGTTTGCCATCCGTTCACCCCGAAACTACCCAACGGATTAAGCTAAAACGTTGTAAAGATGTATAGTTCTAGATCGGGAATAAACATTGAAAAGCTAATTTTTTTTTCTCCGTAATCAACCATCTGAAGGGTGGCTGGTACAGGGCCATTGGTATTATTGGTCCAAAAATCGAATTATCCGTGGATTACCTTAGTGCCACGGATAAAATAAAACGAACAACACGGACAAATACAAACGCGGATCAAAGTTTTTATTTTTACGCCGTTCAATACCGACACGGACAAAACCGTGCGGGACATTTATATAGTAGTTTATAATAATAATAGTGTTACGACAAATAATGTTATGTAACTTCTTGACAACCAGATCAACAATCGGCGCCGTGTGCACTTACTGTAGTAACTCTACGGACGGAACACAATTAAAGGGGAAGTATTTGCTTACGTTCTATAATATTATGTCGCGTTCATTAACGAAATCGTTCCAAAACAAATAATTTAGCAAAGTCTACGAAAATTACGCATATCGTCAACAATAATTTTCAACGAAATATGAGGAGGGTGATCATTTATTTATATCAATATTAATTATTTTTTTTTTTTTTTTATGTGAACACGTTCTACGATGTAGACCATTTTCTGAAAGGAAATTTCTTTAGGGTGGTACTTTAGGGAAGTCATTTTTCAATTTTCTCATCAAGTGCGAAAAACCGAAAAAAAAAACGGGAAAATGTACGAAATATATTAGTAAAATATTACGATTTGTTTTTTTTTGTTATGGACAACTTTTCTACAAGCAATTTTCTCCAATTTACACTAATAACACTTTTTCTGAATGGAAATCATTTTTTGATTTTCCCAAGAGTTTTCCCGGAAAATGTGAAAAACCACGAAAGAACATGGGAAAAACGTAGGAAAAACGGAAAAATCGGTACAACATTAAACAAATATTATTAAAGGAAATATTTAATGCCTATTTAATTACGTTACCATAATATGACATATATACATATATTGTTGACACTATTAACATAGCTCCACTCAGAATCGTTTTTCCGTTGGCAATATAGTTTATCGTTGTTTACAGATATACATTAAATTCCTTTCTGTGCTCTACCTTTCCAACTTTCCATCTACAACAGTGTCTGCACCTACGTGCATAGTATGTCCGTAGTTTATACAATGTAAATTATCGATTTTCGTGTTTTAGTACTTTTAAATACGAATCAAAAAGTCAACGTAACCAGACCGTGAAAAAACTTCACATTTTTTGAAAACAGTTGGCCGTACGTTTCGTCGAGAAGAAAAATAGCCGTTATTATTTACTTCACAGTATACTATAGTACAAGGTCGATATCCGTTTTACGAAGTGGAAAACAGTTTATGACGTTCAATATCGCGTGACAAATATAATATTCACGGTATTACGGTGACGAAATTCAACGAAATAGACAACAACCACCGTGAACGATTTCGCTAAGTATTTACAATAATATTTACAAATATATTATTTTAATAATAATATTTATTTATAATATATTTACGGACACCATACAAGATGTTTATTTAATTATTAATGTAAGACTTCTTGGCAGTAGGTAAAACGAAGTAATTTATTAGATTCGAAGAGAATCTTTGATTAAACTTTGAACAGGGGCCAATAACAAAGAATTATCAGCACGATTTTTATTAAAAAAAAAAAATCAATTTTAATAAAAACGTATTTATCCGTACGCTATCGATTAAAAGTGGATATTAAACGACTCGGAATAATCCATTGAGCATATACAAGCATATACACAGTTGTATCAAATTATACACGTGTGTGTATATTGTATATATATATATATATGTATATGTATAGGTACAAGAGAGGAATTTTATGTGAAATGCGTAATATCAATTATTTTAAGAGGCAATAGAACGTAGTAACATATAGAAATATGTTCGGGTTTCGCGGCAGAAAAAGAATAAATATATTAATTAGCGGACGGTTCGTATAACACACGAGTAATATTACACCGGCAGAACTCATTAGGTTCTCTTACACCGGTGAAGATAAAGGCAATATCTATTAAAGCGTTACACGGTTATTATAGGTGTTATTATACTGATCATTGAAACCGGTATAAAACCGTACGGACGTTACGGGCGTCGATTTACGAACGTATTTTGCAGCGTGTTTCGATCGAACGGCGACGGGAAATATTTGCGTCCGGAGCATTACGACTGAAAATGGCGATGTTGGTTTTTCGTTTTTTTTTTTTTTTTTACAAAGTACGCGTTTCGAGTCAATTCAAAGGACTAGGGTTCGGCAACGAGACGAGTCGGCTTTCCGAAATCGTTTCGGAGAAAGGAAAAAAAACCGTCCATTCCTATATTTATCGGACCCGTCTACTCTTTCGCCCGGAATTCGGTTGAACCAGACAAGTCCGTATCGATATTTTTTCCGCGTCTCGCCGAATCGCGTAGCGCAATATGCTATTATTGCTTCGCTCGAAACTATCGAAAATCAATTTCGCAGTCGCCGTGCTGTCGTGCGGAACCCTTCGTTTTTCAAAATGTTCACGCTGGCGGCGCGCAATAAGACTTACGTTTTATTAAAAAATAGAAACGCGTATTTTTAGCGCCGCCAATATAGAACAATAGGTAATTACCTACTTTTTTTTTTTTTTATTCCGAGCGTCTTTGACCGACGGAATTTTTAAAATCTTAAATATTACACTTTGTTCAATAAGGCGGGGGGAGGGAGAACAAACGAATAATCAAACGCACAAATTATTATTCATTTATTTGTTAACGCCGTGCAACAATTTATCGTCCAATATGGCGAAAATGAAAATATTTTAATTATGGCGCGTCATCGTGACGAGGACCCTTTTGTCTAATGAATAATATTGGTACGGTACAATATTGTTTTATAAAATGGCGCTTGTTTTAGACCACTCCCTCTGTGCATTACCTATTCATTAATAATTCTCCTCCCCCTGAAGCTGCAGCGTTCGTGACACAATCGATTACTTTTATCGTGTTCCCCGGACGCTCGCTGGTGTAGCTATCGATGCCGGTTTTTTTTTTTTATTTTTTTTTTTTGTTTGTTTGTTAACAGGTGCCGGCAATAAGGCGTGTAATAGTAGTAAGTAGGTAAAACTCGAAGCCGTGTTTAATATTATATAATTGTTTCATAAAAAAAAAAAAAAAACCTACACAAATATCAGCACTATAAAAACTATCTTTAGCCGATATTATGTCGACGCACCGACGCGCGCCACACTGCGTTTTAAATTGCGATTTTCCCGGATAACAATAATATCTCTGCGTAGGTATAAATTAAAGATAATTCGATAATTTTTTTTAAAAAATTATATTCGGTGTTTTTTTTTATGTACATTTAATTATGAGCATTGAAACGTAATTTAATGAATGATAAATTATTCATTCATAAATATCACATTTTATGCATACCTACATTAAATTATAATATAATAAAAAGGGTTTCGCGAAAACGTTCATATAAATGAGGTCTTGATTTAGTGATTTATGCTCGTGCATTTACCTAAATCATGCAATTATAATAAAAAAAATTGATAAGATAGTTATCAAATATTATTGACAAGTTACTCGTGTATGGCTAAGTATGGTATCAATCAAGGAACAGTGTTAGGTCCGATACTATTTTCAATTTATGTTAATGACTTATTTAATATAAGAATAAATAGATGGTAACGTTTTGGGAATGCTGCGGCGCTATTCATTGAGGGGGATAGTTGGACTGAGGTCGAAAATAAAGCAAACCTAGGATTGACAATAGTAAATAAATGGTAATATCAGGTTTATTCCTTTTGCCATATCGAAATGTAACTAGCCGCAGCAGACAGAAATAAAATTATATATAAGTAATTGTAAAAAAAAAAAAATATAACAGGTTAATGTGATAAAAATAGTAAGACTATAACTAGAGTAAGTTCAACCAAATACTTGGGTGTAATTTTTGTCGAGTACTTGAAATGGAAATGTCATATAGAAATGATTATTATTCGGATTGTGAAATGTTTTTATATTATTAAAGAGCTAATGTATATTCTTAATATCCCTAATCTAAAAATGGTTTATTTGGCTCTATGTCGAGCTATAATAATGTATGGATTAATTGTATGCGGTTCGGCATATAAAAATGTATTAGAGCTATTAAATATAACTCACAGGATTAGAGTTTTAATGAACAATTATTATATAAATCGAAATTTCTAGCACGGATGATTTATTTCAAAAACTAAAAATATTAACAATCGATCAATTACACAATAAATTGTCAGTAACGAAAATACAAATAATCAGAAAATAATTTGGGATCAATAGTATGTATAAAACAAAAGGGAGAAAATAGTAGTAATTTAAGGTTAATCGAACCAAATACAAAACTAATGGCCAATAATTTTATTAACAGAGGTATTGAATTGTACAACCAACTACCTACGGAGATTAAACTAATAGAAAGTAATATTAAATTTAAACTAGGGTTAAAAAAAACTATGTATGCGATTGTTTGATTGATGTCTCATTCTACTTGTTTTCATTAGGGTTATTGTGATTATTGTTATAAATATATTCTGATGTATTCTATTCTTACCCTAATAATTTAACAGTTCTCGATGTAACTTGTAATTATAAGTACAATTTCTGTTATAATAGACTCTCTCCAACCGACACAAGCTTAGCGTACCAGGAGAAAATATCAACTTGTAATGTAAATATTAAATTTGACATATTATGTTAAAACCATTTAATTGTTTTAACCGTGTATTATAAAAATACAGTTTTTGTTATTTTGGTTTACGATTTATCAGTTTGTGCGACACATCGATGCTGAGACTCGACACAAAGTCGTAAGGCGTTATAGAAAGTTTTATACAAGGAACATAATATCGGCGAAAGCCACAAACAACGACATATTCAATATGCAAATGCTGTTAAACTCATAATACAGAATCGCCATCAATAGCATGGATAAATGTAAAACAAAACAAATGGGTGCCGCCGTATGCTAAATTCGCTTAAATAAATAACGAGTATAAATATATTTTATACCAGTAAATCAGTTTTTGTTTATTTACTGTCCGATACATTTACACAATAGACAGTGCATAGCGTTGATCACAGGCAACCATGTTTGTTGTGTCTACACTAAACATTTTTTATCAGTCACACGAATATCTATACTAAAAAAAAATGTCCAGTTTTTTTTAGTAATTTTCTTTATGCGCGGGATAATATTATAAAGATTAAATCATAAAAATAAAAATCTCCGTATTTGATTTACGACCCAACAATTTAGATGATTAAACCACTTTCTCGGGGACGAAATCTGTGAAAATTGTATTTTGAAACACTGTGCCCCGTTGCCGTTCATGCGTAAATAATTTACGTCGGAAGAACGAGTAATCGAAACGGTTTTACAAGTTTTTGAAAACGTGAAATCGAATAAACTTGGTGTCAAATATATCCGTTATAGAGAGAACGGAAAAAATATAAAGCAAAAATCACTAAAATCTTGGTCGATTAATGTGTCAATATAGTTAAAAACGATAAAAAAATGTAAAAAAAATTACATTAATAATTATGAATGTCCGCGGGGTAACAATAAATAAACAAAAATGTATAATATATACACAACACATATGACATTATGTGTCATAATACACAATATTTGGATGTTTGAGTGTTAAACAACACCAGACAATATTTAGTAGATAGCTACTTGTATTATATTATTATGGTCTAAAACTGTATACTAGTGATATCATTTGGTGAGGGGAAATCCCCCCCTCCCCAGATACCATTTTCCCAATTTGTAATTTGGGCATTTTCCCCGGACTAACTTTTAGCCATAGTATTTCGGTAGATTTTTGGCTACTTTATCATGTGTGAAAAAATGACGAAATATCGAACAAAATATGTTTGTGCCTACATCCTCACAGATAATTTATTAATTAATGGTCGAAATATCAGTTTTCCTATTTTCCGACCGATTTGCACGACTTTAAACAACGATTTTTAACTTGTAAACAAAATCTATAATTAAAAGGCCACGAATGTTTACCTGTTATGGAAAATGAATGTGCATAATACAAAGGACAATATTCGAGCGAAGAGACACAAATTTGTTTTGGGAAAAATATATTTTCTCATCAGTTTGGTAAATCCCGGTCTACGAAATATGTAGATGACGTCACTGCTTTAGACCCGTATTACGACTCTGTAGAGTTGTTTTTATTATTATTATTATAAAACAAAACAAAAAAAATATGTACTCAGTTATACGTGTATCCGAACGCGGAAAAATATGAATTTTAGTTTCTTATAATTTATCATCTATATTGTTTAATAATTATTATTATAATTTTAACGAATCAATATAGCATAGGGTACATTTATATGGAATATATTTTTATTTTTTTTTCTTATTACTTATTTAAAGATCAACACAGCAGTAAACTTAACGGCCTTGTATCGCATTTTAACTTAACAAGCTTAAGTCAATAATAATTATTATTAATATCAACTCGCCCACCTTCGCGGATAAGACACACGGTGTCAAACGACCCGATAAACCGACCGTAAATTACTAGGGGAACACTTTTCGTCATTTAATGCGCGCTGGTTTTGTGCGAAATAGTTATAATAATAATAATAATAGTTAATTTAATGATGACGTAACATCGATTTAAAATTGAAATTTTCCTGGAATAAATAAAAATAATTAATGTACCATTATATAATGAATGATAAGAGTAATAGCGAATAATTGACTTCCGCGTGTGGGCGTCGCTAGAGTTCAATTTCTGGGGTAGGAAAAAAAAACGATTTACAAAAATTGTGCGTTCTATTTATTTTTACAATGTGTCGACATAAAATGCATTTGTGTCGACTAAATACTATAGACATAAAATTACTAAAATAAATAAAAAAAGGAAGTATAAAAATAAAATAAATCAATGCATCAATGCGTCGCCTGGAGTATTACGATAAATATACTATACGATCCGATTTGAATTAAAATTCATCATCAGGTATATCACAGTCGAAATGTAAAACGCGGCTGAATATAAAAAATTAATTGAAAGAAATTATAGAAAAAAGAAATTTACAAATTCGTTTTACATCGAATATAAAATTATTTAAAATTAGGTTATTATTAGACATAGATATGTTAAGAAGTATAAATTATTTGGCTATTATTTATTTTCTAAAATTTATTGATATAAGATATTATTTTTAAAATCGGTTTGAACATTTGAAATATCATTAAAATCATTTTTCTATATTTCATTGAGTATGTGTAATTCTTTTAAAACTGAATTAATGTATATGTTATTTTGGGTATTTAATATTTCTAAGTCTGTATTAATATCAAAACTTATATCATGATTATTTTTTAAAACGTGTTTACCGAAATTAGAATTAGAAGCAGTCTTTTTTAATTTTATAAATTAAAAAAGACTTTCTCATAAATCTAAATTTAAAAATTAACATACCTCTAATATGCTTTTATATATGAACTAAATATTTCGTTGTTAATAATATTACTGGTTTCATAATTTTGCATGTAAATTTCAAATAAAAGAGCATTTAAAGGACCACCCATCCATAACTAACCCAACTTTTTGCGAATATAATTTATTATTATATTGAAAATAGTTTTGATTAATTATTATATTTATTGACTGAATAATTTCTTGTACTCGTTTTTATTAAATTTATTATTACGTATACGTTTATTTTTTAAAAAATTTACTGTATCGTGTTTAGGAATGGATGTATATACATTTTTAACGTCAAGAGAAATCATTTTGTAACCTGACATAATATTATTTTATTAATTTTATCAATAAAATCATAAATGTTTTTTTTAGTAGTATCAGTATTCATGTTTAATTTTTCTTTTATGTGAAAGTCTTTTTTAATTTTATAAATTAAAAAAGACTGACTCTAATTCAAATTTCGCTAAACACGTTTTAAAAAATAACCATAATAGAAATTTTGATATTAATACAGACTTAGAAATACTAAATACCCAAAATAACATTTACATTAACTCAGTTTTAAAAGAATTACACCTACTCAATAAAATTAAAAAAATTAATTTTAATGGAATTTTAAATGTTCAAACCGATTTCAAAAATAATAATATTTGATATTAATAAATTTTAGATAATAAATAATAACCAAATAATTTATACTTTTTAACATATCTATGTCTAATAATAACCTAATTTTAAATAATCTCTCCTATTAAAATACATTTTTCTATGTAAAACGACCAATTTGTACAATTTTTTCTCTAGATATGTATTATTTCATTTTTTTTTTTTTTTTTTTATATTCAGTGACTTTTACTTTTTGACTGTGATATATCTGATGATGAATTTTAATTCGAAACCGACCGTTTAATATACTGATCATAATATTCCGGGCGACGCATTGATTCATTTATTTATTTTATTTTTTATACATACATTTTTTATTTATATATTTATTTACGAGTGTTGACCGTTTAAATAATTTTATTTTTACTTTGTTATTTTATTATAATTGTCGGCGGCATTATATACGCGTCTTACACTCGTATAATTATGTCGATGAATATTACAGTAAACACAGTAATGACCATCGGTTATGTCGCGTGTACTCATAAAATTATTGCAACGAAAATAAAACGAACACCGAGAAGAAATGAAAAAAGACAACAACAAAACCATCAATCTTGAGTGGTCGTGGTCGTATAAACAGAGCGTTTGCTGTGGGCTGCGCGACGCATACACGGTCGAAATACGATGCGCTGTGAGCCGAGGACCACGCTATTCACGCGTCACGTCGCGTAGCACGTCAAATGCCTCTAAACACGTACTGTACAATTATTTTTAGTGTACCGATCGCTATTGTTGATCACGTCGTTAACACCACACGGCATCCAGCGCCGTTCAGCGCCACGCGATTCAAACGATTTGTTTATTTGAAAACGTGCGACACGTGCCGTGTTCATACAAAACAGCGGCGTTTCTCTCATTGTCCGCCGACTATTATGCCGTCAATTTTGTTAGGTTTTATTTTAATTTACGATAATATCAACTTTAATTGAAGATAATTTAATAAAAAAAAAAAAAAAAAAAAAAAAAAAACATTCATGAGGCATAAAGATTTATACAATGGTTTTTCTGAAGATTATAATGTTCAGAACTCTTTCTTCGTTAACAGGGTGAACCCCAAAATCTGCGATTACAGGACTGATTTAAAACACAATACGTCCCAACGACCGTTTCTTCAAACTCCCCTTTCTAATCACTGCCTGGACCATATTTCATAATAAAATATTTTGAACCGAATAATCGTTTACCTACCCGACATTCAAATTACAAAATAGTACTCATATTAAGCGTGTATAATTAATTGTAAATTTTACAAATCGTATTGTGCGAAATATTCCACACGTTATATTAATGTGCACATTATCATCACACATTCATACACGTAAAACCATAGCGTGGTATGTAAAGACGTGTTAACATGTAGCGTGTGATTAGTGTGTTCTTAGCTTCACACTGCCAGGTAGTTTTTTTTATTGAGGTTTTCTCATTTCTGTGTCTAAATAGAAACACAATTGGGTGTGAATTGGACATCCAGTAAACATTTTGCTAACTATATGTCCACTAAAACATAAATAGTAAATGAAGAAGAAGTTAGAGTCCACTTCTACCTAGGGCACACACATCTGTCGAGACCAAGGCAAAGTCGAAATAGGTACATCATAGCCGGAATCGCTTATCGTATAACAACAATACGGTACTACGAGGTTCGTCATCCAGGTCCGTCGTTTGGTTCGCTAAATGACACAGGTTCCGTCTCGTGATGGCTCGACCTAAATGTGATAAAGACGACAGGGCTTATCTCGATCTGTCGTTCAATCGCCACGGGAGTACCGTTAGTATCAAAATGGAAGCGGATTAGACAGGACATGACAAAGATACATTCCAAGACAATATATTAATTTACCTAAAACTCGGTTGATAATATGACGTAATATAATGCGCTAATGTTATATAATGCAAATAAATATTGAACTATTTTTTTACACTTACCGCATATATATATCAGTTCAACGTCTTGGAAAAAAAATAATATAAAATCTAAAGCGTACGAAATCGTAAAACGTTGTATAAAAATATTACAGTTATAAGTGATGTTATTTTTCCTCGGCATAATCGATGTGACGTGTTTGTGACTATAACACCGGTAGTCCAGAAAATTTCCGGAACGTGTTTTAATAATTCCGTGATTGCATTATACGCTATACGACGACGACGACGGTAAAAAATTGATATAATATTATTTAATTATTATAATAACACCTCCCACGGCGTAACGTTTTCGATCCAGAAAATGCATCACGGAAACAAACGTCGTATTTTAAATTCAGAAAAATATGCGGCAACGTGGAATGTCGACAGTCGGCAATTCATAATGTTGCGAGTAGGTACGACGAACAGTTTTCGGCCCCGCACGATCCAGATGGTATCGAGAGTACTTTGATATCAATAAATTTTTATTTTTATTTTTAAACCTACGAGTTCGAATGAAGCGTAACAAATGATCGTGATAATTAGAAGTATAATATACATGTTTATAGTAGTCCTGTAACCGTCTTGTTAAACGTCTTCGGACATTTGCTTAAAATACACGGTACAGCATGAAGTACAAACACAGTAAACATCAATACTATTATAGATAAAAATACAAAATACTAAATACAATTGACTTGTTTTCTCATTCGTGATAATTTATAAAACCTATTTTAGAATGATAAAAAAATTGTAAACAATTACTGTACAAAATTAATGTATAAATATATTATTTTTAAAAAAATCACGTATTTAGCTGAAAATGTATTTATTTTTTTTTCAAAAAAATATAGTGAAATCAGTAGCTAATTATAGATAGAAAAACGTGCAGATTCTATGCAAATTAATAATATGCGAAATGCAAGATTTTAGTTACAGAACCGCTATAAGTAATATACTACTTACTATGGTAGAAAGTCGAAATTGGTTTCCGTGTTGAGACAACACTTTGTATATTGTACTGGATACTCGTTGTTTAAAACGACCCGGAGGTTTAGAGGCGTTTGCATTGGCATGAGGTCTGTCAGCTGTTTGTAACCTGCAGCGTATTATTATAATTAATTTGATTAAATTGTTTAGTCCGATGCACTATTTTTTTTTTTTATAGGCGGGACGACTTTACCCGCACTGTATTTGTTTTTATTATAGAAGAATTACCAAATTTCCACGACATTTAAAGAAAAATTCTGTCTGTACTATATGTACATTCAATATATTGATAACAAAAATACAATCAAGTAATGTGCTTGCAAACATTTAGATTTTTTGGGGTTTTTATTTAAAAATTATTGAATAGTGATATCAAAAAAATATGCACGTTAACACACTGATAACATTCCTTATGTTTTCTGAAATAACTTAAATGCCTCTATAAATTCAATAATAGTAAAGTTGATCCTTGCAAAAGAGATTTTAAAAACAATTTATAATTCATTTTACGATAACGCGATAAACAATTGTGATGACGACACGGGACTGCTTATAAATTGATCTCGAAATGAATTCGAAAATGTTCAAGTTGATACATCATCAAAAATGTCGTGAACATTTCCTATACTAAACCTCTTAAATACGACCTCGTATATCAAAACTCACATAATCCAAAGTGTTAAAAATGAAAGCAATTTAGTTTCGACATACACCGCTACTTTCCGATTCGATTCATACCTATTCTTGTACGTTTTGAAACGAACTAATTAAAAAATCAGACGTGCCTTCAAAAATCCTATAAAACAGTGTCTTTAACTCATGTTCAGTTTTGATTCTAGTCTGGATACTCATATATTAGTTAACATAATATATTTCGAATTTTTTGCATTTCAACTTTCGCTGTCGTTACAAAAGACTACAAACGCTACAAGCGAGACGAATCGCGAACGTCCAATAATGTTGTTATAATATTATTCTGGTCGTCACGATAATTATTAGGTTCTCGTCGATAAATTATGATAATTTTATGAACTCAACGTAATATTATAAATTATAATAATATTATTTACAATGTTGTCGATTTCGTGACAGCCTCGTCTCCTCGGACCGCGAGTGAGCACACGCGCAGTATTATTATTGTTATTAATCAATTACCTACAATACGTGTGTTTACATAATCGGCACACGCAAACGTTTGAGATCGCGGTGTGCGTATCGGTGTGCTTAAGGTCTAGGAAAAATAAATAAACAACTGGCCGTACTTCACACGACGGGTGGACCACTGTTGTAGGTGAGAATTTGGGAAAGTAGAGAAGAATTGTAATGTATATCTAATACGTAAAGATTAATCATTGTTAATGAAAACCGATTCTGAGCGGAGTTCGACTATACATGTTTTGGAAGGCCGTAATATTTGTGATTTGAAAATAATAAATTTCGTAAGTTTTCCCGTTTTTCTTATATTTATTTTGAAAACCGCTTAGAAAATGAAAAAACTACCTCCTTAAAGTACCGTCCCAGTTTGGTTTCCTTTCAGAAAAATACTGTACTTGAAAATCGGAGCGAAATTTCTGGTAGAAAATTTGTTCACAGAAAATAAAAAAAAACATCATTGTAAAAACCATTACATTTCTCGCTCCACTCAGAAAATACCCATATTTTATGAATGCTTAATATTATACCCGTAGACTACTAAGTGTAATCACGGTTACCGCCATGCATTATTATACCTTACGTCATAATATTAGTCGGTTTTCGTACTGTAGGGGACGGAATTCCTCTCCTTTTTGTCTAGTGTCTCTTTACTAATAAATATTAAGAAGATTAGGGAATTATTATTATTTAATGATTTTAATGTGACTTTTTTCTTTATAAGCCAAAACAAATCGCTTTCTCCAAATATTTACTAGATTCCGATAGTTTTCTATTATAATTTTGTTATGATCCGATGTAATTTTTGAACTTGCCTTTTTTTTAAATAAGTTTTGAAACGCCAAGACGGATAAAGTTGATCAGAGTGCATATGCATATTTTGTAATTTCGCAACGAAAATCGAATTGGCTATCTTAGGTTAAAACTTTAAATATTGGCGACACGGAATACATAAAATAATGATAGAAAATCGTGTATCGATATTCATTATATTATGAATGATAGCATACACGGTTTTACTGTACGGCGAGACATCGCTGGTGAAATAATATAAAGGGTGACGGGGTTGATACGGACAGACGGGGAGACTAAATTGCATCTTTCATTTTCTTTTATTATTATTGATTTCTGTTTCGAAACGAATTTGTTTAAACATTATACTTTTAAAATGGTAAAAATAAAAATTTGTAAATTAAATTGGCACGGGCGTCGGATTCACCTAAGCGAATACTATTACCGTTTATAATCGAATTACACGTCGCGTCGTCTAATAATAAACGATGAAGTTATTATTATTTTACTACTCGCTAAATTATGCTAAATTATAATATAAATTTCAAAAAAAAATGTACAACAAGATATTATAATAAATTCGTGTATCGTAATAACAATGTTCAAACTTATTCCGTTCAGGGCTAAAAATATCGTAAATTTAGTTTAACTATACATATACATAGGTACACTATATACAACAATAATACTATAGTGGATAAATATTACAAATAAAAAACTTATTCTGGATGGTTTTCGGTTAAACATTTTTCGATAAATTTTAATCGAACATTTTATTAATTTTAACTACAAAATAATTTATATTTTTCCCCGACCGTGATACGCGAATTTATGTATTTTAAAAACAGTCGTTTTTTAAAATAGAATTTTACAATAACTTAAAGCACACATTCTTTCTATATGGATAAGACCAAAATAAAAATATTTTACTCGAATACTTTAAGCATGGGTGTGGTGTAACTAGGATTTTTAATTTACTAGGGTGCTTTAACGTACTGGCGGATCCCTCCTCCTGACCACAAAAATACCTGTTAGATGATTATTCATGGTTTTTGGGGACCATATAAATGCTTAAAGAAGCCTATTTCCTCTATTTCCCCCTATAAGTTACACCGGCGTAGATGAGCACGACATTATAAAACTATATATATATATCGATTTTTATACCGTATAACTTTTCAATTTATAATTTATCAAGGTCACCTGCTCACCTGCTCAATTTAGAAATCAACAATTATTTATTAAACTCAATAGTCAATATAGCCGGAACAATTTGACAGTATTATAATACCATAACACATTTTTAATGCATACATTTAATACGCGATTTGCATTTAAGCTTATACGAGTAAACACAAAATACAAATGTATAACCGGTCTGATTACTGACATTACTTTATATTAAAAAAACAAAAATTAAAATTTCACTCATCAGAAATTTCTATTAAATTAATACATCGAAATGTATTTTACAGATGGGCGAAAGTCAGGTATGCTGTATGCACTTCATCAACGATCAACGATAATCAACTTCAAGGGTGGTTCTGGATGCAAATTGAATTTAGTTAAAAAATGTGTCTAGTTAGCTGCATTGAGAAGACCATTATTTAGTTTTCTTTATAACTGAGAAAACCTGAGAAAAAAACTGAAAAATTTACTCAAGAACGGTTTTGTGTTATTTTCGGTTTTGTATTTGGTGGTAGTTTAATTATAAATAATCATAGATACCTGAAATATTTACCGAGTACTTATATTAGCCCTTTCTAGACATGGTAAAAATATTCTGGCGATTTGTGATCTAATAATAGCAATTTTAAATGTTCGCGATTTAGTTTTTATTCGGTTTTGTGGATACGTTTGACCCAGCGAAAATGCTCGAAAATTTAACACGGTGACGTTTATTGTAATTAATGAACAATACAAATATGAAAATCGTTTTGGTGTTTGTTAATAAACGACACAAAATTGATATATTTACTAAATTTTAAATAGCTGTACGTTCTGAAACTTCCGCAAATACGTATTCACACAAATCTATAGTGAATTATCGTCATGTTGAAAGTGCTAATTGCATAAAAGAGTTATTATGACATATATTTCGTTGATGTAAGTATCATTTAAGAAAGCCGCGGAAAATGTCTTTAAAAACACTTATAAATTATGATATATAAATATATATAAATTATTCGCGTTGTATTAGAGCTAATTTAGTACCTAGCAGCTGAAATGCCCGTAAAATATAACGCATCGTTAAATTATTATAGTTAGCGATACATTTATTTTGATTACGTGCCGTTTTAGACGATTTTTAAAAGCCAGGTTGAATTTCGCGTTCTAATAAGAAATATCAAAAAAAAGTTACAAAATGTTATACATAATATCAATGTCCATATCGGAACAAAAATAGTGTCAATAAAAATAATAAAGTAACAATAAAAGTATGTATAGTAAAAATTATCAACACAATTATGTATGCTAATATTTTAACGACATTATTATTTATCTAATAGTATAACTTTTTGAGTGTAACTTAAATTCCTCAAACGTCTATTTAAATTTTTACTATCTTTGTGGTCATTTTTTGAATTTGTTTATATTTTTCTCAATGAATTAAAAAAAACTGCACGTTTTTTTTGATTTCTAGGTAACGATGGTGACTAAGAAATAAATGCGATATTAATAATAAGACTAATCAGTACCGTTAGCAATAGTTTATCGTAGCGTACAGATTAAATTAACCTAACCTAACCATAACCACACACAGTATTAGCCTCTCATCTTTTTTTTTTTTTTGTTTATCAACAACCACTGCGTGTATTTCATTTCAGCACTTTTTTTTAAAAAATTATTAGCCTTAGTCTTGGTTAGAGAGAGAATTTGTTTCGTAAAATTGTAAACACTCTTATAAGAAACTAAAATGCCATTTCTGTTTCCATTTAATTTCAAAATTAGTTAGTAGTGTCACCCCAAAAAATAAAAATGACAAAAAACGACGGCAATATAAAGTTTAAAAGCTGTTTTGTTCTTTAAATTGTCTAAAAAAACAAATTCCCAAAAAAATGAATACTTTTTCAAGATGATGCGAGTCTTACGGTTCATGTTAATCGATTAGAGAGAAAGAAAGAGATAAAAACATCGATTTTACTCTCACCTGAGATCGCCGTTTGCCCGTAGATTCGTTTGTAAGTTGCATAATATTTCTAGAGATGTTAGCCGAAACCGGATTGCGACTCACGCATTTTCGACCACCGCTATCGCCGGATCCGTCCCGCCGCCGGTATCCAACGTTTCACAGGATCGATTGCCGAGTGTCTCTTGTACAATATCCTGTGATGTCTACCGTCGGTCAACTGCGAAGAAATGAGAGACGAACCTCGCCACACCATCGACCTGGATTAAAAGGGTCGGCGTGAACTTTGACATCGCAATCTCGGGGGTGGTCTCCCTCTACGGGGTTTTTCTTTATTATTATTTTTCGTGGGAGCGCATCCTGTGGGATCTCTGCGTGCGGGACGAAAAACGGGATATCGCCCTCCGCACCGCAAACCCCCGCGCACGTGAAATACATCCGAACAGGTTCAAAACCAGTGTCAACGGATTTCTCCGCGCTCTCAGTATACCGTATACGAGTTCGTTTGGAAAAAAAAGTAGTAATCCCGGGCGAGTCTGTAAAACCCGCTTTCTCCCTTCCCTCCTCTTATATTATTGAAAATATTTTTTTAAAAAATATTCTTCTATTCCATCGCCTCTATGCCTTTTTATCCCACGCACGAGTGGTGGGGTCAACTACTCTTGTATAATACGTATAATATTACTCTTATAATAAATATTATTATATTTTTGTACTCCATTTCTCCCTATAACATTGTCCATTACCGTTTCCTTGTCATCAACTCCATATGCCCTCATTTTATATCCCCCCATATACCTAACCTCTGGTCACTTTTTCTTTAGCATAGGTATATCTTAACCATTTGCATATAAACAACGTTCTCTACTCGAAACGAGTAACATACAGAAATGGAATCCCCTCATTGGCCAGATATCACGTTATTCATTTTAATTGCCTAGGCACTTTATTATAAAATTCAACATACGTTCTAATGGTGTCAATTATTAATGTTTTGTCAGGTTTGTATCCGGCGATCATAGACGAAATTATTTGTATTTTCCCATTGCTTTGTCTGAAGCTGTCGTGGTTTTTCATCCACTAAGTTTTAGGTTTATACGTAATACACTATAACTTCTTTAGAGCAGTATCAGGTTTGGACTAACAATGAAAAATACGCAAAACAGTTGCATATTGTTTATTATTATTATCATTGAAATCATGATTATTTTAACGATATTATGAACTTGCGCATTGTCTGTCCAATTAGCACACCTCGTATATTAGGTTTTCTGATTTTCTTGGATATTGCATCGTTACTCTTACTCCTCCCCTCAACATGCCCATACCGATAATCCATAATATTCAGGAATGACCAAAACCCGAAGCATAATATCATGATATCGGAACTTAAAACCCCCTGATCGTAATAATCCAGAACATAACATTCCGGAATTGAGTAAAAACAATAATAGTTATTCTTATCCTAATTATTCTTAAATCGTTGCTCCGATCATTATTATAACGATGCGATACACGACAGTACTAGCGCTTAGTCGGTGCAGAAGGTGGGGTTAACTATTTCAACTATTTTTTTGGTAAACATTTTAGAGATGACGAGATTTAGGGGATGACAAATGTATTGGTTTTACAATAATATTTAATATTTTTTTTTTTTTATCCATGAACAACTTTTTTACCCGCAATTTTGCTCAGATTTGCAATAATAGCACTTTTTCTGAAACAAAATCTGACTCGGGTAGTACTTTAAGGAAGCTGTTTTATAATTTTCCTAGGAGTATTACCAATAAATGGGAAAAACCGGGAAAAAATATGGAAAAATCTGGATAAAAGAGAAAATAGGTATAATATTAAACAAATATTATTAAAAACAATGTTTAATGCATAAGTGTATAATTATTTTACCATAATATGAATAATATATATTGTTGACAACGCAACACTATTAACCGGACTCATCCGCTCAGAATTGTTTTTTCGTTAGCAATAGTTTTTCGTTGCGTACAGATATACATTAAATTCCTGTATATAATTCTCCCCTCCCATGAAGAAATCCTACAAATGGGCGTGCATAATAATACAATTATCTTGGTCGACATTCTTTTGTAGATCGATAAATTAGTAATAAAACCCAATGTTTATGGACGCATCTGATAGGTACAGACTTAGTGCCGAACCGGGTGATTATAGCCGTAAAGATACATGCATACATTAATTAGTCGTAAATAAGATAACCTGAGATTACCTGTTGAACTTTGTGTCCGTATCGGACGTTATCGAGTCGATTCGAGGGTCTGAAAAACTCCGGGATACCAAAAAATTCATTTGTGAGGTACAATAATATTATTATAATAACCATGAAGCGTTAAAAACAATTTCATCTCGTATAAATTCTTAATAATAACAACCCGATTACGAAATTGTCAAATAATAATAATTTATATTCAGTCTATTTCGACTGTCCAGTATTATTACATGCAAACCAGCATTATAATATAACAAATTCGATCGGGTCTAATTCTGTAAAGTCCTTGAATATTACGTTATTTTGTGCAATAACATTTGTATGCGTGTCCGTGCCTATACCTTATAACTAATTTATGTCAACCACTGTAATTTATTAACCGGCAGCACTCTGCAGTCGCACTGATTTTCAAGTTAAAAACTAAAATCACGAGAAACACCAACGCTAGAACAATGCTAATGTTCTTCACTCTAAATTTGGTACTACGAAAATTCACTCTAATATTAAAGCTAACAAGGCAGATTCGGTTCTGCTGAACACAAACTTGTTATGTTGCGCGTGAAAACAAACAGTGCGCCGACATCCTTTCAATTATACACTATTAAGGCGATAGCACGACAATGAAAAGATAAATAATATAATAGGTACACGTATTCATGGTTTTCAACTAAACAAAATAAACCCGATTAGTTTTGTAATATCATTGGTCTTACTTTCTTACAAGACGAAAAAAAATAGTTAAGCGTAATATCAGAATTTTACTATGTGTTCTTTTAGATTCTGAGCGAAGCGAGAAATGTATTAGTTTTACTATGATTTATGTGATTCGGAACGAAGGACCTATTGGTTTTACTTGGGTTTTTTTTTTTTTTTTTTTGTACCTGTGAGCAACTTTTCTACCAGAAATCTTGCTCAAATTTATCAAGTGTAGCAACTTTTTTTGAAAGGAAACTTTATAACTTTACTTTATAAACTTTACTCGGTACATAAAGAGATCATTTTTTGATTTTCCGAGGAGTTTTCATAATATTCGGAAAAAACATTGTAGATAAAATGGCAAATATTTACGGTGGACCGCGACGTTACCGATTTCATTGTTTTTAATTTTTTCGAACTATGGCTTCTAGTATAAATATTACTTAAGAGGACATTATAGCCGCATCTACTGTCTCAATCCAACTACCAGTAGAGAATGTCGTCGGTGTTTTTTGAAGTACGAACTATTAAAAAAGTTACAGATATTTAAAAAAGCAAAAAAAATAAAGGTTTTTGTAGCTTTTTTATTGAGCTGTATATTTTGAATAATAAAAAGAACTCACGACATTTCCTCCAAAATATTGTTCTCTATAAATTTCATAATTAGTACTTTTCCTCTAAAATCAAAATTCAGCTAATTCTACATATTCTACGTAAGTATTGTTTATGTATGTTACCCGGTAGTTGAACTGAGACAGTAGATACGGGTATAACGTCTTTTTTAGTCACAAAATGCCTAGAAAAACTGGAAAAAGACTAAGTACGAAAACTGATAAATTTATGCCGTAATGATTTATTTATTTTCAATTTATACGGTTTATGTTTTCTACGATAAACCCTTTTTGTTTCATTTTTAATCTTGTTAATGAACAAGTCATTTTTTTCTAATTGCTCAAGCAGTTTTTTTAATAATCGAGCCAAACCGAAAAAACATAGAAAAAACAGGAAAAATTACGAAAATAGTACTTTTATTATTTCAAATTTTATCTTTTTGTTGTTATTCGTTAAAAATATTTGCATAGACTTGACAATTTGACAGAAATCTTATATTAGTTTTTTCTAGGCGTAGTAAATATTTAAAAACATTTGAGCCATTTTGAACTATTTATAGACATTTTAATTTTGTGAGTTTTGTACGTAATTTTTATTTGGTAGATACCCTGTGGATAAAATTGTTAGACGAAACATAAATACTTGGAAATTTAGCAGATTTATTATAAGTCATACTTAATGGTAAAAATAAAATTGTAGAAGTATTGTATTTTTTTGGTAAAGTGTTCAAAATTTGTCGAAAATAAAAATGCGACACTTCAAAACAATTTTAATCGAACTTCGCTCAAACTCGTTTTTCGTTAGCAATGTTTTATTGTTGTTCACAGACATAAATTAAATAATACTGTATGTATATTACCTTTCCAACTTCCCATCTACAACAGTGATACGGTGTCCCACTGTCCCCAGGATCAGCTCGTTTTTCTGTATGTGAACAACTTTCTACCAGAAATTTTGCTTCGATATTCAACTTCCTGAATGGTTTTATGCAATAATAATTATTATTTTCGTTTTTTTTTTTTTTTAATTCAGAGAAACCTAAATGGCTCAAGTAGCTCAAGCGGATTCATAGAATACTACAATACTTAAATTAGAATACTTAATACTTATAATTGAAATTTACACACGAAATTTAAATAAATAAAGGCGTAAAACATAAACGCAAAAACAAATAAAAACACATATAAAAGTAAGTAAAACTAATTTACCTAGTGCTGTTTATCTGACTACACTGACATCACACTCGGGGAGTATATCTGGTATGAAGTGGAACATAATATAGTTGTATCATCGTAATAATAATATAATATATCGTTAATTTGGTGACAGTTATCAAACCGAAGTATAGATCACACACGAAGCGTTTATCAAATATAATCTACACCGCCAAACCGTCAAAATCGACGGTGTAATTTGTTTACATTCTTGCAGCAATAGATAACATCGCGACATTTACGTCATTTACGTTATCTACTGCTGTACTAGTGATGACAGGTGATAAAGACAAGAAGTATGTACGACTGCGTTCACTTGGAAAACGTTATAATACGAGTAGATATTATTATCCCTCTTTTTGCTCAGAATATAAAACACAGTGAAATATTATGTTTGTCTGCGATTATTTCCTTACAGGCGGTATTTTTACGACCGAATACAATATCGTTTAAC